TCAAATGTTGGATATCACCTTTAGCTTCCAGTCAGGTTTGCATACCTCCCAAAATTCTTCACAGCCATGTTTTCCTTAGTACATGGTTGCCCGTTTTCAGGGGTTGTTTCCCGCCTTAGCTCTTAGTTCAGTGCATCCAGGTTTGTAATGCCCAATATGCCAGGCTATTAAATTTTTCTTTAAATTGCACATACTGAGCTCTAGGAATCCCAATCTGAGCCCAACAGTGCAAGATATTCAGGGCTGAAGTTTGGGATTTTTCCTGTTGCTTCCTTAGTCCGGGCATATGAATTGCAAATCACCTGAGGGGGCCTAGTTCCCTCCCTCTTGTTATCTGTTGGAAGTTGGTCCCACAAAGCTTTGGTGCAATAGAGCAAAAATAAGCCTGGGGGGAACTTTACTAAAGGTAGGTGGAGGGGATAGACTCAAGTGTAATTCTGAATGGTGTGTGTGTGTGCATGTATGTGCAGCTACTTTTACAAAATAGTCAATACAAACATTCTGGATCAATTTTCCCTCCCACCAGATAGAGGGTGTTCAGTACTTTTTTCTGCCACCTATTCCCAAGTGCCATCTCTCCACTAATACATTCAACTGGCTTGTTACAATACAAATGGGGCAAGAAAGAAAAGTTTACAATGCGTTTCCACCCTCTCCCCATAGTCTAATTTTCTCTTCTGAGGCTTCACATGGCACCACCTTCCTTCTGAAGCTCTCACAGGCATCTGGGTAAATGGTAGGACTTGGGAAGATGTTCCACTTAGATTGCATGGTGGCTTTTTAGTGGATGGCTGGATTCAAAACTCAATTCCATGGCTCAAATGGATGGAAGCAGCATCTGGGTCTGTGTGTTCTGCTTCCAAAGACTTGGGAGAGGGTTTCAGGGCTGAAAGATACAAGAACAAGGTCACCCCCCCCCTTTCTGGGTGGACTCTACCAGGAGAGGCAGACAAAAGGTATGGAGAACAAAGGGCAGGAAAAGAATTGGAAGGGGGGTAGCTTGCAGACAGTTTGAGAATGCTGAAAACTCCAAATAATTTTAAAAGCCTAATATTTTAAGGTGTGCAACTTTCCAGAGGTAGGAGAACATTTATTCTAAAATAGACCACATCATTTTAGAGATTGAGAAATGCTTATGTTTCGGAAAGCTTCATAGTAGTTTCACCAGTAAGTGATAGGATAAGAAAAGTAACTTAAGAAAATTATTTCCCCACACAATCAGACTTGAACTTCAAAATGCTCTTGTAGATAGGCACACATTTTTCAGGAAAAGGATAGATAAAACACATACAGTAAATGCAAGTGAAACTTTTCCAACAGATAAACTTAAAGCAATCCCTCCTGGTAACTTAAGGCTGTTCTTGAGCGTACACAGAGACAGAGAAAAACAAACAAACAAACAAACACATTTTTTTTTTCTTCACTCTGTTTGTTGGCCAGACAAACAGAGTGAGGTATTTCCTTTTTGTGGCTTATTTTTAAGCATAATTTCTAGCAGAATTTAAAATTCTTTTTCCTTTGGATTTGAAACAGTTAATAGTCACATTTACCTCTCACGCAGACTTTGACAAACATATATACACAAAGACAAGCGAACAGAAGTCTTAGTTTTACACATCCTAGTCATACCCACCATAAATTTCAGATAACTCAAGTTAGGGAAGGCACATATTTTAAACATACCATGTGGTTGCATAGAGAAGAGAAAGAGAGATAGAGAGAGAGAATCACTATTTCTTATTTTCCTTTTTAAGTACCTTTATTTAGCCAAATTGGTTTCCCAGCAAGGCCCTAAGCAAAGTCTATTTTTCTTTCATACACTACACAGTCGAAGTCTCCTTGTGAGACTTCTTTCCTAACACAGTCGAAGTATCCTTGTGAGACTTCTTTCTTAATACAATCGAAGTCTCCTTGTGAGACTTCTTTCCTAACAGTCGAAGTCGGGGTGCCAAATTGATAGAAGTAAAGTCTTCATCCTGGTTCATCCAAGCCGGGAAGAAATAAGCAAACATGGTGACTGCTTTGGGAAGAAGGTTACAGTTTATTGCAGAAAGATGGTTCTTCAGGAAAGTGCAGAGGAGAGAAGAAGGGAGAGCAGAGGAGAGAGATTGAGCACATGGGCAGTAGGTTTTATACCCCCCCCCTAGCCTTTTGTTTGGAAGTTTCCTGTTCCTGTGGCATGAACCTTGAGGCTGTTTCTGAGTGTTTGTCTAGGCCTTGATATCTGTGGTTTAATTCTATTATCATATCCTGCTTCCCAGGTGATGGGGCTGATTCCTAGAGTTTGGGTGGGGTATGCAGATCTTCTCGTCTTCTTGATTGCTCTGGCTCCAACTTTCTGATGGTTTTACATTTGCATTTGTATGGGCCTAGCTTTTGCTTGGGGCAGAGAGATAGATTTGGGGCCAGGTTTGGTTTTAAAAAGTCCTTTTGAGGAAAAATATATTTTTCTGCCCTTTTTAATATTTCTTCTCTGGGATAACTTTCATCACTTTCTTTAACCAGGTTGGTCAGCTGGTAAACTCAGCAGGAGCAGAGCCAATGAAAATGAAATGGGTAAATTGCAGAGGTAGACAGAGGGGAGGGATTCCTTATCATTCCTCCTCTGCTTTAGAAAGAAGGTTGTTGTTTATTGAAGTGCAGAGCCAGACAGAAAGATGGCTCTGAGAAAGCTGACCACATGTAGTAGGGAGTGGTAGGTTTTTATACCTTCTTGGGCTTTTGTTTGGAGTTGTACCTGTGGCATGAACTTTGACCTGAGTCTGAGTGTGCCTTTCTGATATTCTGATGGTGGTGGGTTAATCCTATTACATCCCAAAAGTCATATCCTGCTTCCCTGGGGCTGTGGCTGATGACTATGTCCTGTGTTGGGTTTTTTTGGTGTGAGGGATTGTTGATTCTAGGGATTTTTGTCTTTCTAATCCAAGCTTCTTGGCTCCAATCTTTCTGACAAGATTATCACATCTGCATTTCTGCAGACCTGGTTTCTGTTTGAGGCAGAGAGACTTGGGGTGGTGGTGTGTGGTTTCTACCTTTAAAATCCTTTGGGGAAATATAATATTCTGCCTTTTAATATTCCCCAAAACATTTCTTTCTCTGGGGGGGGGTGACTTCCCACAGGGGTGTGTTTTAAAACAGAGAAAGATGCCTCTCCCTTTGTTACTAAGGGACAGAAGGCTAATCTGTAACCTCTGACGAGGCCTTACAGTTAAATGGATCAGTCCAGCAAGTTGTCCATGGAGGGCAGGCTGGCAGCAGGAAGAAAAGGGAATGGGAGAAAAAGAGAGGAAGGCAGGTCAGTCTGGGGAAGATGAAGAGAAGAAAGAAAGAAGGGAGGGAAGGAAGGAGGAAAAAAGAAAGGAAGTAGGGAGAGAAGAAAGGAAGGCAGATGGAAAGGAAAAGAAGAAAGAAAAGGAAAGAAGGAAAAAAGACAGGGATGGCAGGAAGGAAGAAAAAGGAAAATTAAAGTAAAAAGGAGGGAAGGAAGGAAAGAGGGAAAGAAGAAAAAGAGAGGGAAAGAAAAAAGGGAAAGAACAAGGAAAAATGAAATAAGAAAGGAAGGGAAAGAAAGTGAAAGAAGGAAGGAAAAGAGAAGGAAGGAAATATAAGAGGGAGAGCAAGGAGAGGGTAGAAGGAAGGGAATAGGAAGAAAAGAAAGGTAGTAAGAGAGGGGAAGGAGGGAGGAAAGAATAAACTGAGGAATAAAGAGAGGGAAGAAGGAAGGAGGAAAAGGGAGAAGAAAGACAGGAAAGAAACAGAAAGAAGGAAGGATAGTAAGAGAGAGCAGGGAGAGAGTGTAAGGAATAACATAGCAAGCTGAGACAGTAAGAAAGAAGGCAAGAGAAGCAACACACCAGATGTCTGAATGAAGGACAGCTGCAGGTCAATCTGCAGTCTATGGGGATTGGATAGCCAATAAATATAAATAACAGATCTTGGAGAAAATATGATTGGATTTCTCTGTAATACTCATCTCACTTACAAGGGCTACTACAGTGTTCCTCAAGCTGGGCACTTTTAAGATGTGTGGACTTCAATTCCCAGAATTCCACTGACAACTTGGCTAGTTGGGGAATTCTGGGAGTTGAAGTGTACACATTTTAAAAGTGCCCAGCTTGAGGAATGCTTTGGATAGAAGTTGACAGCAATTTGGAATGACTGTAATCTCTGGGCTGCCGTCTGGTGGTTTTGGAGATTATTTGTAACCCAAACAAAAAAGCAGCCCCACAAGTACCCATTGGGGGCCCAACTGGTTAGGCACAAGGGGGGGGGGTACAAACTGGGAAAAAGAAGAAGAAAGAAGGGAAAACAGAGCATCTTGGACAAGGTGAGTGACTCTAGAGCAGTATGTCAGCCCATATGTCTTTAATCCTTTCATCCGTTTTTTTAAAATATTATTTTAAAAGCACCTTGACTGATCTCAGGAAACTTAGCAAGGTTAGCCTTCTTTGACCCTTAGATGGGAGACCATGTGGTAATCCCTAGGGGAGAGGTATGGTGTTCAAGCCACTCTGCTGGGTCCATTCCCCTTGAAAGAGGCATATTTCTATTTTTTTTTTTTTAAAAAAAGCCCCAAACTCCTCTTTCCTACCCTCAATCCTGCCACAGGAATGATATGGTGCCATGCGCTCATGGACCTTGATTAAACTTTTGGCCACCAAAGGTTTATCCACCTAATTTGAAGTGATAAAGGCTAGTTTCTCCCTCAATCCAGTGAAAGTGCTTGAACCTTGAGGAAAATAGTCGCTGATTTCCAAGAATATGAACTGGGTAACAGCATTCCTTAAATTGCCTTTTGGCTTCTAATTTGCCACTGTTAAGATAACAAACCGTGTGAAACACTTTTGAGTTTTTGGGTAGAAAAGCAGCCCAGCACGGGATCAAAAGAAATATACCATGCTTTAGCATGGTGTTCTTTTATGCAGTAGGATGCTAGATAGATCAAGTAAAAATACAATTATTTGCACTTACAGTCCCTGGTTTGATTGTTCCTTGAACAGGATTCCTGCGATGATCTCTACAAAACACCAAATGGCTCAAAAATTAACAGAAGAGGAGGAGGAAAAAGAATCCAAACTTGACTACAGTGACAATTCTTCTCTATTACCTGACTCAGGTTGCACTTTAAAATGAACACATTGCTTCCTTCTAAGCTATGTAGTAGATGGACCACATTTAAGTAATAGCTAAAAAGCTGCTTTATGATTGCTCACCAGATAAAACACGAGTAGTTCATTTTGAGAAGTGTTATTTATCCTCATTTTTTATCGCAATGATTTGCAAAGGCCCAAAATTGATGTTGCTAAGTGAGAAATTTGTTAAGTGAGTTTGGCCTCATTTTATGACTTTTCTTACCACATCTGCTAAGTGAATCCTTCAATTACTAACACGGTTGTTAAGTGAATCTGGTTTCCCCATTGACTTTGCTTGTCAGAAAGTCACTAAAGGGGATCACATGACTCCGGGACATTGCAACCATCATAAATGTCAGTTGTCAAGCATCCCAATGTAAATCACGTGATCATGGGGATGCTGCAATGGTCATAAGTGTGAAAAATGGTCATAAGTCACTTTTTTCAGTGCCGTTGTAACTTTAAATTGTCACTGTTATAAATCGAGGAAAAACTGTATTCATAATCTTAGCTATTCAGAAATGCTCCCGGGGATTGGGGAAAGTGGGGTCTGGGACAATTAACCACGGGGACATGTCTGCGCCCATTCCATCACGGGGCCCCAACAGCAGCCAACCCATTGTGGACATTTATTGTTTGCTAGCTCTCTGCTAGCATTTTTCACCCACCAATGGTCTGCTCCAGTACACCCTCCTCCTGGACAATTTGCTGAAGGATACTTGTCTTTGGCCAATCCAGAGCGCAGGACAAGTAACTGTGCATCCCTACTCTGTCTTCCCATTGGATGTGGTCCCTTTTTAGCTCGGTTTCCTGATGTGAAAACTGGAAAGATTCAGCGGAGGCACACCTGCTGCACTTTGTGTGCATGCAGAGGGCTGGGATGGTGAAGCTGCTTCCTCCCAGATGTTCCATGCTGTCCCTTGGCTTGAACGCTATAGATTCGTGGCAAGGCAGGGGGCGAGCAGGCGGAGATTTGTAGTGCTTCTGAAAGGGAGAGACTGGCTAATAATAGAGTCCTTCCAAGCATATCTAGAAATTAGGAACTTGTTTTCAGTTTCAGGATCAGGCTTCCTACGTTCTGAAGAACATGTCAAAAAAGTTTGTACAACAAAACCCCCAAGAGGAAGAAACATGATAAATGTGAAGGGCCCCTCTCGGAAAAGGAACCATCAACTGCACCCCGAGCTCAGTCTCTGTAATTGTAGTCAGCAAAAATAAAAAGAATGTCATTCTCTCAGAGAAGAGAAAAAAATGAGGGAGAGGGGAGGAGGAAATATTCACACTCCCCACAGATAGAATTGGATGAAATGACATTATGCATATGAAAATATCCAGAAAGATGTTTACAACAAAGGTTGCAATCCCACAAAGGGAAGCCTCTTTAAAATTTCTTCTTTTTTAAAATTTTTATTTATAATACAATTAAAAAAAACATTGGATATAACGTGACATTCCAGTATATACATTCTTATCAAATTATGCCACATTTTACAATCGGTTCTTCATCTCTGAATATACATCTAAATTTTATATACAATACTTATTCTAAAATTACATCTATTTCTATCTTAACACTAACCTATAATCTCAACCGTCCTCCTCGAATCCTTCCAGCGGTAAAATTTATCCCAGGTTTTGAAATAAACTGATCTACATTTGTCTTTCAATACCATTGTGAGCCTGTCCATTTCCACACATGATAATATTTTATATAGTGTCTCTTCCTCTGTGGGAATTTCTTTGCTCTTCCATTTTTGCGCGAACGCAAGCCAAGCTACAGTCAAGACATGTAACAGCAAATAGATTGTTCCCTTACTGTATTCCTCCGTAGTTATTCCCAACAGGAAAAGTTCAGGTTTTAACTCTAAGTCCAACATTAATATATCTTTCAGCCATCTTCGTTTCCTATTCCAATACTCACAGGCCTTTGGGCATTCCCACCACATAAGATAATATGATCCTATTGCAGTTTTACATTTCCAGCATAAAGGTGAGATATTTGGACCCATTTTGGGTGGGAAGTGCCATCTATAAAACATCTTGTAGAGATTTTCCTTGTACGAGGTAGCTAGAGTGAGTTTCCTATTTCTTTCCCACAATTCTTGCCAAATATGCAGATTGATACTGAAAGCAAAATCCCTACTCCAAATTAGCATAGTATCCTTGACCTGTTCTTCATACATTGCCTGATCTAAAAGAAGGTGATATATTTAAAATTACTTTCTTGTAATAGAAGCACAAGCCACTAATACTGATCTGTCATACAATTATTTTCCTAGTCAATACATTTTCTTTGATCTTACTAGGTACAGGGGTGGGCAACCATGGCTCTTTTATGACTCGTGGACTTCAACTCCCAGAATTCCTGAGCCAGGCATGCTGAGGAGAAATGGAGAGGTTTTCATGCTGAGCCATGCTGGCTCAGGAATTCTGGGAGTTGAAGTCCACAAGTCATAAAAGAGCCAAGGTTGCTACCCCTGTACTAGGATGATGTTTCTGGCTCATTTCAATATCAGGCATTTTCTGCCTTCTCTTTTCTCTTTTCCCCTCCCACATTTCCCTCCTTCCCAAACAAGGTCATCTCTTTTTTTAAAAAACGAGGACGAGCAGTTTCTCATATGAGATTAATTTCTACTTATGTTATAAAACTAAGTGCTTTTCTTTATAGTAATATTAAGGTGACCAACTTTTTTACAACAAAAAGGAGGACATGAATAAATTGAAGACAATAATATCGTAAATAAAAGAAACATTGTATTTATTGCAACAATAATACAGAATACACTATAATATGGTAAATGCATAATAAAAAACATTTGTAACAATAACATTTTATATTGTAATTATGCTTACATGCCTATTAATTATTTAAATGAGTACTTTTCCATTGAATGAATATTTTTTGTCAATGTATCATTTTCTAACAATATATTGGAAATATTTGAACAAGAAATATCCTTCATATTGAATTTTATGGCAAGTGCTGCAGCTAGAGTATTAACATTCAATCTTGATTTCTCACATCCAAAAATCTACACGGCTGGACTGCGTGGGGTTGGGTGGCGGAAGCAGGTGTTGTGAGCCAGGCGCTCCAGGACGGCCACGTAGGTGCGCAGGGTGAGGTGGTGACAGCACAGGTCAGCACTGCGTAGACCACCAGCTGGCTCGGCCCATAGAAGGTCAACTGCCTGCTGTGCCCCTGCCCACAGCTGCCCCACCAGCACCGCTGCCCTGCCGTGAAGAGCTGGTCCCGAGGCTCGCAAAGCACCAGCCGAGCCAGCTCCAGCCCTGCAGCCACCCCCCAACACCACTGCCCACCCTGCGCATCCCTGTAGAGCTGGCCCCACGGCTCACAAAGGCAAAGCACCAGCCACGCCTGCTCCAGCCCTGCAGCCAACCCCCCCCAGCCACCCCCCAGCATCACTGCTCACCCTGTGCATCCCCGTAGAGCCGGCCCCATGGCTCGCAATGGCAAAGCACCAGCTGCGCCGGTTCTGGCCCTGCAGCCGCCCCCCCTAGCCGCCCCCCCAGCACCACTGCCCACCCTGCGTATCACCATAGAGCTGGCCCTATGGCTCGCAATTGCAGAGCACCAGCCACCCCGGCTCAGACCCTGCAGCCGCCCCCCCAGCCGCCCCCCAGCACCACCGCCTACCCTGCGCATCCCCGTGTAGAACCAAACAGGGAAGATCAAGAGAAACTTACCGCTCCAGTCTCCTCCAGCTAGGGGAGCACAGCTCAGACAAAAGTTGAAAAAAAAACATCAAAAAAGGTCTCGCAACGCCTTCTGAGCGTTTTATGAGGACAAAAAAGCCCTGCAGATAAGTCTTCAAATATAGAAAAAGAGGACATTTAGGAGGACATTTTCGAGGGAGGACAGAACTCACAAAAGGAGGACTGTCCTCCCAAAAGGAGGACGGTATATGGAAAAGGAGGACATTTAGGAGGACACTTTTTGAAGGAGGACAGAACTCAAAAAAGGAGGACTATCCTTCCAAAAGGAGGACGGTTGGTCACCTTAGTAATATTCCCAAAGCAATATCAAGAGTATCCTTTCTCTCCCCAATCTCCAATCACATCAGGGCAGTGATGTATTCAGAGTCCTAATAATTTGGGGATAAACACCTTTTATTTCAAAATTATAACGGGGGCCCACGGTGAAATGGGCGCAGACATGTGCCCATGGTTAATTGTCCCATTCCAGGGAAAGTGTCCCCAAATCCTGGCAGCCCTGGCCATATGACTGAAGCTCTGCCTTTTTGGCATGGGCATAAAGCATGCACCACATATAAAAATAGGGAAGTGATTCTTTCAATTGTGCAGTCATGGGCACAATCTTGACTGTTTATGTGCTCAGATATTCCTGCAGCTGTTGTATGCTTATTTCAGTTGTGACTAAAACTGTGCCTTGTGCTTTTTAAATATCGAGGAAATAAGGCCTACTCCCAAACTATTTTAATTTGAATTAGAAAATTCAGTCCTTCCACTGAAAGCAGAAGGACATCTAAATAATTAGTTTGGGCCTGATTTCTGTCTTTTTTTTTAACAGAACAAGCTTTTATTTTCAAACATACTAGTATGCTAACATGGGCCTGAATTTCTTAAAAACACCATCACTTTATTTAGTGTGTGTGTATAGGGTGTGTGTGTGTAACTCTTTTTATAGTGGTAATTACAGGTTGTCCTTGACTTATAACCATAATTGAGCCCAAATTTTTTATTGCTAATTAAAACATTTGTTAAATGAATTTTACCCCATTTTACTACCTTTTGTGCCACAGTTGTTAAGTGAATCATTGCAGCTGTTAAGTTAGTAACCTGTTGTTAAGTGAATCTGGATTCTCCATTGACTTTGCTTGTAAGAAGTCACAAAAGATGATCACATGATCCCAGGACACTGTGACCACCATAAAGATGAGTTAGCTGCCAAGCAACCAAATTTTGATCACATTACTATGGGGATAGTGCAACAGTTGTAAATGGATAATAAGTCACTTTTTTTGAATCCCATTGTAACTTTGAACGGTCACTAAATGAACTGTTGTAAGTTGTGGACTAACCTGTATTATGAGGATTTTAGAACAAACTTTCTGAAGACATAGTTTTGCTTAATTCTATAGCATCTCACAAAAAAAGTAAACAAATGACTGCTGTTCATTTTTCCTTCACAGGTCCACCTGTATTTAAAATATTGACAAAATGGGTTCCAAAGGCCTCCTACTATTTTGACAAAGAACATTATTGTTATGCTGGCCATCAGATCATCATTCAAGAATCCATTGAATGCTTTGGAGCGGTAGTATGGCCTGCTGTAAGTTTTGTACAGAAAAACAACACACTTTTGACTAATAAACACCTTAAGACATCTCTTAAGAGGAAATATTTACTCTTGCTTATGCCTTTTATTTTGATCAGTATTGCCATCTCTAGCAATATTAATAGTGGAGGGAGCAGTGGCAATATTCAAAATGACTTAACGTAAGACTATTATCATGATTACTAAACTGATTAACATGGATTGCATGATGCTGTACCCTTGTCCCATGTTGATTGATTGTCCCATGTCACATATTCTTGTCCCATGTTGATGAGGCATAGAATCAAAGTCATGTGAAGTATTAGTACCACTTTATAAATCCTTAGTACACCTGAAATTTTGCATCCAGTTTTGGTCACTACATTACAAAAAAGATGTTGAGACTTTGGAAAAAGTACAAAGAAGAACTAAGATGTTAAAGGCCTGGAGAACAGTTGCAGGAACTGGATATAGCTAGTCTAGAGAAAAGAAGGACTGGAATGACATAATAGCAGTATTCCAGTATTTGAGCGGCTGCCACAAAAAAGAGGGAGTCAACTTATTTTACAAAGCACAAGAAGGCAAGACAAGAAACAATGGATGGAAACTAATGAAGGAGAGAAGCAACCTGGAACTAAGAAAAACATTCCTGACAGTAAGAACAATCAGTCAGTGGAATGGCTTCCATTCAGACGTTGTGGATGCTTCATCAATGGAGGCTTCTAAGAAGGGAATGGACAATCTTTGTCTGAAATGATATATGATCTCCTGCTTTGAGCAAGGGTTGGACTAGATGACCTCCAAAGTCCCTTCCAGTTCTATTCTGATTGAAATATTTTTGTCCAGTTAAATGAAATTCGTGAATGAAGAGCAGATGCCACTAAATTGGTTATAATAGCTTCAATTGTCCATGGAGATTCTCAGTCATCCAGGTCATGGATATCCCAAAGGTGCTTTTTCAAGAGGCAACTGGACTTCCTTGTTTTTCTTTGAAGATGTTTTGCTGCTCATACAAGAAGCTTCTTCAGCTCTGAGCTTTGGGCCAGCTTTCCTTAGTGTTCACTGGAAATATCAGTTGCTATACTTTATCCCTAAATCAAAGAAATGCTGCTATGGTAGTTAAACATGACCCAGAGTGGCTATGTGTTGCCATTAAGATGGTTTAACATGTTTTGGGACTTCCGGTTTGCCGCTGCAACTGCCTTGACTGTTTGGAAGGTGAGCTCCATCCTCCACATCTGATTTCGCATTCCTGGGGGACCCTGGACAAGATCGAAAGCTGCCCTGTAAGGGCGACAAGCATGGAGGCGATCCCTGCTTGATCGCAGGAGGGTGGTAGCCCTTCCACTTGATCCGGGGCAGCCCTCCAAACCGGCAGACGAAAGATCGGCCATAGAAATATGGCTCGTCACTAGGCTGCAGATAGCTGAAGTCAAATTTACCATCAGGCACCTACAAAGCAGCGCAGATGAGACTGAGTGAGATCTGAACCTCTCTTCAATCTTAATTATTTTTTCCACCTGTATAAGCTGCCCAAAGTATTTTCCCCCCTGTGGAGAGAAAGAAGGGAAATTCTATCCCACCCTCTAAAAACAGCGGCGACTGACTATCCAGGGGAGTTTAAAACGCTGAAAAAATAACTGGATTTTTATCTTTCTAAAATTTGAAAACTAAAAAATTTCTTATTCTTATTGAAGATTTGGGTTCTTACTTACAAAAAAGAAGTAAAATTGAGAAAGGATTATAAAAATATTGGACTTAAAAAAAAAACCAAAAATCTTAAATGGTGTGGGTGACATCTTGTGGCTAAACCTGATATTACAACTTGTTATTGTCTAAAAGAGACTTGGCTTAAAGCCCAGACTATAGATAAGACTTTTGCAACCTTGGCAGATATCAGCTGTGAAAAGCTCAGCTGTGTTTTATACTCACTGACAAAATTATTTTCATTCTGACTGTAACGCTTTTAATTTAACACACTACTAAGAGAACATGGAAGATCATGAACAGATACTTTTTATGTTGAAAGCAATTTATGAAACTATTCTTACAGTTACTGATGAAATAAGAAGCTGCAGAAAAGAACAAGATGTCAGTCTAAATATGCGAACCCAAACTTTGATTACAACTAAAAAACCAACTACACAGAATATAATAGAAGAACAATTAAATACTATGATAGAAGATTCAACTGATCAACAAACACAGTTAACGGGAAACCCAGAAAAGGGATTGATAACACTGAAAATGGAAAAGACTTTCTATATAAACCAAAAGAAACCTGAGGATCAAGAAGAAAAACAGACCAAAGGGAAGATAAACATTTCAGGACAACTATGTTGAGATGGAAACAATCTCAACATAGTTGAGATTGAGAAAGACAATTTGTTAGCCCTTCCAAAAAAATGGAGACTGGATGGCCTCTTTTATTTCAAACAACATATATAATAACAGAGGAGGATCTATTTGATGATTTAAAAGCATGGATATGGAAGGCTAGTTGGCAAAGAAAGCAAGCAAGAATAAGAAAATTGGGGGTTTTGACTCATTAGTGAGGATTAAAATAGAATATACTCAAATAGACAAGATGTGTACTTTGAATACTAGATTTTGTTATGAACTGAGATAAAGAAAACTGATCATTTAAAACTTGGAAGTACGACTATCAAAAGTTAAATTTGAATATTGATTGGTTTATAAAGGTTGAATGTAAAAGTAATTAAGATAGATATAAGCTAAAAATATACTGACAAATGTAATAAACACATTTTTACTTAGCTGATATAATAAGAATTGTACTGGCTTAAATATAAGATAGTAGACACCAAGAGAAAAAGAGAAGAAGCATTTGATGTTGAAACAAGGGAAATTTTAGTTACTAAATTTAAGACATTTGGAAATTAATAGAAAATAAGAATGTTACATTGTATTATTAATTAGATGATGTAAAATGGTGAGAAATAGAATATATTCAAATAGATGTGTATCTTGAATATTAGACTTTGTGATGAATTGTGATAAATAGATGTGTATCTTGAATATTAGACTTTGTGATGAATTGTCACTTAAAACTTGAAATTATAAATATTAAATTTAAATATTAATGGGAAACTAAAAATTGGGAAAAACTAATTAGGACATTGATTGTCTATAAAGACTGAATGTTAAAATAACCATGATATATATAAGCTAAAATTATTGATAAATGTAAGAATGTTATTTTTATTTAATTGATATAATAAGAATTGTATTAGTTTAAACATGAAACAGTAAATACTAAGGGGAAAAGAGAGGAAATATTTAATGTGGTAGTTTGAGACTTGCACTAAAGATGTTTGTATGTCACTGAATTTTTGATTAACTCAGCTGCCATGTTGCTTTTTAAATACTTAAATGTAAAATTAGAAAATCAATAAAACATTAAAAAAAGATGGTTTAACATGTTTTGGACATGCCCAGTATTATAAGCAAGTATGACATTTCCTATATATGGGTGAGTGTGAATATGAGTAATTTAACATACAGCTTCTCTTATCCCCCAACTATTTAATCTTGATTTACTCATCAAGAGATTTTTAAAATAAAAAAAGGAAAAAATATTCAATAGGCATTGTTTACTTGAGAATACTAAAACAGGAATTGAGTCCTATCATGCTTCGTTTCTGACATGGAATTATCTTGAACTAGTCACTCTTTCCTGAGTGTATCTGCCTTTTCCTGAATCAGCCTTCTAGTCCAAAAGACTGGAAATCTTCTTTGTCATTGTCCATCAAATTTATTTGAAGACTCACTCCAAGCGTAACACTAACACGATTAAAAACATTAATGTAGATTTCTATTATTAAAATTAGCAGTGAAAGAGGCATAAATAAGAAAAAATATAGCCAGATCAATTCTGCTAACACATTAACTGTACATTTCCTGACAGTTCAATGTTTCTTTTGCAATCTGATTAGATTCAATCAACTCTCTACCTATTCCAGTTGAAAAAGCTTCTATAAACTGTAATAAAATGTCTGGCTTAGCTTGTGTCTCAGAAGGATACCAGCGTATGGCATCTTAAGGCTCTTCCAAGGTTAGCATGATTAGGAAGCATAGTAACCATGAGCCTGAAACCGCAATCTGTCTTGCTCCTTCATTTGTATTCTGACCTATTTCCAAAGGCAAAATAAAAAAAAATTGTATTTATATATACACAAATAACTTTTGAATGATCAAAAGTGATTTTTGTTCTTTTAGGCCCTTGCCTTATGTCAATACCTGGAATCAAATCAAGAGGAAATTAACTTCAAAGAAAAGAAAGTCCTTGAAATTGGAGCTGGGACAGGTCTAGTGTCTATTGTGGCAAGTATATTAGGTAACTTGTACACTGATTTTTTTCGGACTGTTAAATAACATAGGGATCCGTTTCTTCAGTCATGCACTTCAAACATAGACTTTCACCACTGTCTCTCTCCTAAATGTTCATTCAACATCTGATCAGTTTCTGACACCAGTCCAATTTTCAGCTATTGCTTCCCTTCTCCATTAACTTTTCATCATTCTGTGTACATGTATTGTGCGTGGTATTGTATCAATTACACATATTAATGCTGATTTATTATGCTCAGCAAAGCAATAATAGCTAGGAATGGCTCTCCTAAATGGCATTCTGCAGTATTTTACTCATAAACTAGTGTTTAAAGAATAATTATAAGTAGATTCACATCTTCTAAACATGTATGATTTGCTTGGTTTTTGCTCAGTATGGTGTGCAAACTGAGCAACTCTAGCTTATTTAACATATTACAGTTATGTAAACCATGGTTTAGCACAATACAATTCCAGTCCATTTTAGATTTGCTGGTACAAGTGGGCAGACAACTTAAGTACATTAAGTACTGAATTAATATTAGGACCTATCTCCCTTCCCCCAGCTGACATTTTATCAAGGCAGATTACAGACTGAACAATGTTATTTTTAATCTTTCAGGAGCTTTTGTTACTGCTACTGACTTGCCTGAGGTACTTGAAAACTTGGAGTTCAATATTACTAGGAATACACAGAATCTAGACATTCACAAGCCTGAAGTGAGGAAACTCATTTGGGGCAAGAATCTCTCTGAAGACTTTCCTAAAGCAACCCACTATTATGATTTCATTGTGGCTACTGATGTTGTCTATCATCACATAGCTCTAGATTCTCTGCTGGATACACTTTACTACTTATGCCAGCCTGGAACAATATTGCTTTGGGCAAATAAATTTAGATTCAGCACAGATTATGATTTTTTGGACTCAGTAAGCAACACATTCAATATTACCCAGCTAGCAGAATTTCCAGAGTCAAGTATCAAGTTGTTCAAAGGGACCATAAAAGAGAATTAAAATGAGGAAGCAGAAGCCAGATTAAAGTGCAAAAGCTGAGACTTTAACAGACTACTAAGAGTCTGATTCTTAACTTTCACGACTTAACCCTTTTCAATTAGGTAGTTATTCAGCACTTTTTTCAAAGACAAATTGTTTCTGCAAAATAATAGATACTAGGAAGCCTGGACTTCTTGGTCATGCTTTTCCCTTAGATATACCCATGTCCAGCTTCTGGCACATTCTGGAATTCCTTCATTGACGTTTAATTCAGCAATCCCCAACCTTTTTGGCATCAGGGGCTGTTTCATGGAAGCCAGTTTTTCCAAGAACTGTGTGTGTGTGTTTCGGTTTTGCTTGCTCTCTTGCCATTTACCTTCAGCTGTGTGGCCCAGTTCCTAACAGAGCACAAACCGGTACCGGTCCATGGCTCAGAAGTTGGAGACCCCTGGTTTAATAGATATTTATAAATGAAGATTTGAAGCTTTATGGATCTAATCACATTGTTAGATTAGAAACAGAAAGGAGAGGAGGTCCACTTTTATCCTACAATATGTCCTCATAAATCAAAATTGCTAAGTTAAATTGCCACTAATACACCATGAAAGCTAAGAGTTTACACTTTTTCTAATTAGAATATAAGGAAACGTGAGTGCATAGTCCTTGTACAGAGCCACATTGTTGAAAAATTAAAACAGATTTCAAATTTGTTCAATGTTTTTATTTTTAAAAAATTAAACCATGAGTACTTAAACCTTTGATATTTAAATCTGCACATTTATTCTGCAGTTTTGTTTTTCAAACATTATTAACATATATGTATAAGTTTTACAATACCTGATTAAGTATTAACTGACACTTTATACATGTATCGATTTTTTACCGATACTCTGTATCATGTGGATATTTGTGAGTATCTCCAAACTGAAGATATCCAGAGCACCTTTGCAATAGTAATTCAGAATACATCGTTAGTGAGTGTGGAAGTTATTCTTAAAAAAAAAAATAATAAAATGTAAACTCTTGCAAATGATACTGGTAATTAAGTTCTGTTATTATTAAATCTAATAAATAAGTTTTTAGCTACCTTTGTTGTAGCTTCATTTAAGGCCTTCATACAATTGAAAATTTATGTTTAAACATGTTAAAATCCTGCTCATTGTAAAAATAACAGCTTGTATAGCCTTATGATTAAAATTACAGTTAAGATCCACATACACATGCAAGAAGCTATTCCATTTCCATTTTCTAAACTTTGGTGCTGGCTGTTCTCAAACATCCATTGCCAGCAATGTGATGTATGCAATAGGTTTTGTGTTTAAATTTTCACTTCTGAAGCAAATGAACTACTCAAGGAACTAAGAATTCAGTTTAAATAGACTTCTTCATGTCTGGATCCAAACTACACAAATATACTGCAGCCCCTTATTCTCTGATTAATACATACAAGTGAAGCATTCAGTAATAGATGAAAACATGCAATCCAGTAAGTTCACAGATTTTATATTGTCAATATAAAGAACATCTCGAATTCACAACTGCAGTATTTTAAAACACACAATAATCGGGTGGGAACATCACAGGAAGCCAGTTTTCACTAAAAGACGCACAGTGAGTCCATCCAAGTAGCCTCATTAGCTGAAAGGTTAAGAGCAAAAAAAATTCATGAAAATGAAATTTAATGTATTTAACGACTAAAATAAGATTTACAATATATAACATTAGTCTTTCATTTAATCAATGACATTTCTAGAAAAATCTGTCGTGTTTACAAATGTTATTAGCTTATCAAAATTAAAATACAAAGAAAAATGAAAATAATGGGAAAGTAGCGAAAAAGTAAAGAGGAAAAAATGTAGGATAAAAAGAGAAAGAAAAAGAAAAGCACTGACTTCTGACATGGTTTAGTGCAGAATAAGATAACATACAATCTCAACTTTTTTACTTTTACATAATCATATATACTAGCCACTTCTATAACAACAAACCTATCTAATCAGCAAAACCCAAAATTAATGTTTTATTTTTTCCATCTCAAGCACAAAGTCCAGAAGAAGTTTCTAAGTAAAAATGTTATTTGTGTTCTTTTCTTTAATTACAGCAGTCAATTTAGCCATCTCTGCTAACTCCATTGCCTTTGCAGCCAGTTATCCCTTGTGGGAATTAAAGTTCCATTTTTGTGCAGAGAGCATTCTCCTGTCAGCATATGTAACATCAAAATTCATTTTTTTCATGTTTTTAGCCATTAGGCCTAGAAAATCTGTCCTAATTTGATTTTATAATTCTAGAATGTTACTAAAACTTGTATACTGATTTAACTGAAATGAATATGCAATAACAACTTACCTGTATACAGTTTTTCAAGTTGTCTTTGGTGGGTTTCTCCTCTGCAAGTTTATTTGCAAATTTGAGACTTCTGCCGTACATTTTGTTTACCAGTGCATGCTTATAAGCAAAGAGCAAAACCTACAGAAGAGTATTAAAAAGTGGAGGCAGAGATTTGTAAGCAGAATAGAAGTTCTACAAAGATTAATCATCGTAATTCACTTTTGGAGTTGACAATAGACGAGTCAGAACTAGAATAAAAATCATCTCCAGGTACATGCAGTACTCAACGTACGACCACACTGAGCCCAAAATTTCTGTTGCTAAGTGAGATATTTGTTAAGTGAGTTTTGCCCATTTTTACGACCTTGCTGCCACATTTGTTAAGTGAATCACTGCAGTTATTAAATTAATAATATGGTTGTTAGGTGAATATGGCTTTTGCTTGTCAGAAGGTTATAAAAGTTGATCACATGACTCTGGAACACTGCAACTTTCATAAATATGAGTCAGTTGCCAAGCGTCTGAATCTTGATCATGTGACCATGGGGATGCTGCAATGGCTGTAAGCATGAAAAACAGTCATCAATCACTTTTTTCAATACCATTATAACTTTGAACTGTCACTAAATGAACTGTTGTACATCAAGGACAATTTGTATTTAATGAAATACAAATACAAGCTAAGTTGACTACACTTTAATGTTGTTTGAGTTATTCCTAGCTGTATAATTGTAAACACTTTATATTAAGTTTATTTTAGGACTTATTTAAATATATTTGAAAGAAAGAGGCATACATTTACATGATTCGCAACACCATATAAAGCAGGACATTCTAATAGCTTTCCAGTTAAATATGCTTAGATTTAGCTGCAGCTGAATTAGTTTACACTAAACTACAGCCAAAGGTTATTTATTGATTAATCAAATTTATATAATTGCCCATCTCATGGGAACAGGTAAGATGTACAAGGGCAGCATGCCAAAGAAAAATGGTGGAAAGCCACTGCCATTATGTCCTATTTATGATCTTTATAAGAGTTCTGAGTTAATACAGTATGCTACAAAAGATCTGAATTACTATTTTGACAGCAGTTCTTGTGTGGAAATATTTTTACACAATTTAAATATAAAACTCTGCCTTCACCTAATAGGTATCATAACCTAAAGCAGTGGTTCTCAACCTTTTTAATGCTGCGACCCCCAACCGGTCGTAAGTCGAGGACTACTCAACTGGTGCAGCACCGTTTGCAGAATGGGTCTTTTGGTGGACTCAGCAGGGCAGAGACAGCCTGGACAATAAAGCCAATAGAATTAGACTCTATTCAAGAGAGTCTATTCTATTGGCTTTCAAAAGCCAATAGAATAAAAGGGAGTAGCACAGCTAAGGAAAAGGGCGAAAAAAATGGTGGACTGCGTTGTTTGGCGACCCCCATGAAATGGTCGTTCGACCCCAAATGGGGTCCCGACCCACAGGTTGAGAACCACTGACCTAAAGGTTCCTTTCTTCAACTGTAGGAACAAATAGTCCTATTCCTCACGATATACCTTGCTATCAGACAGGTCAGTCCATTTTGAAGTTTCCCAGAAAGTCTCTGTCAGAGTATTCAAGATGGCTTCTTGGCTATCATCTTTACATTCAGTGTCATTTGATGCAGCCCCTTCCTGGGCCTGTAACTGCAGAAGTTGATCTGATAATGCACATCCTTTCCGACAAAGAGCATCTACTAAAGTAGATTTCTGCTTTTCCATCTCACTATGTGGGAACAATTTTATTTTATTTATGTGAACAGGTCTCTTTCATCATGCCTATATATGCATTTTTCATTAATTTCTGAATATCACCACCACACAAAATACACCGGCATCGCTTCTAAGTAGATAACATTTAAGAGAAGGTAACATTTCTAAACTGGAATAAAGAGACTAGGTTCCAAAATACATATTTTTAACTAGGGATCTTCATCAAACAAACTACCACCTTCAAAGGAAGAGCATTAACATTTATTCATTCATTTACTTATTTGATTTACATAGCCACTCATCTCACAAATTCAATTTTGGGTGGCTAAAAACATAGAGACACAAGAAATAATATTAACAAGGAGTAAAAGCCTACAGTGGTTGCTGAGGGCAAAACCCAGATAAAACAATTAAGAAAAAGCTCTTAATCTTATTTTCAATCTTCAGAAGGAAGGGTTTTCCAGTTTGCTTTTAAAAATACCTGCTTTATGATTTTACAGTTTACCATTTGTTTTAAATGTTTTTAAAGTATATTTTTATTTTGCTTGCCATAATCTAATACAAATGGGTAATAACATGGAAGGATTTGGGCAGATGCAGGGAGAAAGCAGAATGAAATTGTTGGCTGGCTGATATTCTTTGAAATCTATTGCTGTGACATTTTAGTCTTCAGCATTTCCTCCTTGGCAATATCACACCAACATTAAAAATAGTGTTTTACATTATAAAATACAATTAAGTATGCTCAGTTTATGACTGTTTTCTTTTCTCTTGAATATAAAAATATATAAAAATATAAAACATTTTAATTTTTAGCTTAGAAGAGGAGATAACTTTGCTGAAATAAAATGCAAGGAAAAAAAGTATTTACTGGTTAGGTACTTTTTTATAGTAGCGGCATCAGGCCTGGGATCTGTCTTCATAGCAAGATAAATAGCAAGGGCGGTTTGATCGATATGAGAGATCACTGTATTAGAAGCTTCAATTATTTCATTTAAACATTTCATTCGCTCCTGGAAGACAATAAATTCAATTATTCTCTTATTCTCTTTTCATTTCTTCCTTCCTTTTTATATAAACTATTATTTCCCACGGCAAGATAGGCGGCAAATAAATATGTATGAATTACTATACTATGAATATTCAGTTGATAAGAAAGAAAATAATAAAGTTATTTTGATACAAAGCAGAAAACATATTTTGAAAATAAAGTGGTGCATTTACTGTAATTATCTGTTCATCATGTAGCTTTACAACTATGCAGAAAGATAGGCATAAAAACAATAATTTGAATGGTCCTCTGTAATTCACTAGAATTAATATTTTGCTAATAATTATTATAGTTTCAGCAGCAATGTAAAAATTCTATAAATGAGAATTCTAGTCTATTACTGGAACATGTTTCCAGGTAGCAACTGTTTGCTTATTATAGTCAAATAACACTGAATATGGTGGTTTTCAAATCTGCATTTTATCTTTTTTTTTTAATGCATGGAATTCTAGGTTGAATTTATAGCAAAAAATAGAGAAATTGGGAGAAACAATTGAAAAAGTATACATTTCTGTACAAAAACGAATTATTGAATTCTTAAGAAATATCCAAATTGAATTGAATTGAAATAAAATAAAATAAACTGAAATAAAAATAATTTAAGCAGGAAAGGGTTTTTTGGAGTTATGAAATGATACCAAATAAATATACTGGAAAATAGCATAACATGTCTAACTCATTTATTCACAATCAAATCAAGCCAATATTGTTTTTTCAAGTTATGATTATGTGTTATATAAATTGTAGATTTAATAAGTAAGTGTGTGGCTGGTTTTGTTTTTAAGCTTGAAATTCAGCACAAAAAAAAATCAAATATGTTCTGCTGAAATGATTCTACAGGAAGAAAAATTATCCCTAATCTCAACAAAATACTCACTGATATAATAAATGGGATAAATTCTGGAACAGTTTACAAGGTGTTCAATTAATAACTTGGGTTGATTTAGAACACTGAATTAGGAACCATTTATCAATTTAGGGCCTGAAGAGGACTGAGTGGATTTAAAATGAAAGTTCTTTTAAAAAAGAGAAAGGGCTGCACCTGTTCAGAATCCAGCTGATGAAGTCTTGCAACATATAAGGGCAGATGGTTAGGGAAGGTCTCTTTCAGTTCATTGTATATCTCACTGGTATCAAACCTAAAAATAAATGTATTAATGAAAATGCTGACTCAAGTGGTCTATAATGAAGGCATGGTGGAAAAGAAACATAATTTGCATCAATGTATCAGTTTTCCAAGGAACTGATGGAAACCAAAATGTTAAACATACTTTGTCATCCACTGTATCTTTAAATCTCTTAAAGCTTCCGCAAATTCATCCTTTAGATCTTTTTCTGAATCCTTCTCTTTATCCTTGCTTCCATTCTTGTTTTTTGTTGGGGCTGGGATCAAATGATAATGAACTGAAATTACATCCTAGAGTAAAAAGCATAGCAACTTGGTTAAAGTAGGTATTAATATTTTCTCACAAACATACACTATAAAAACTAAGAATGCATACAATCATTCAGAACCTTTTGAAGCCTCAGAGTACTAGAACAGATTTAGTCCAAAGAATTATCTTCCACAAATTTCAAATTTTGATTAATAATCATTCCAGAAATATTTCACACAAACTGCACCTCAGCCAACTGATTTGCCTCCGTAAGTTTAATTTCACATAATCTATATATTCCTTCGTGGAAAAATGCAGCAGACACAACTACTGAAGAAGAAATTAAACAAACGGGTATCATTAACCATGAGACTTTTTCCTCAGATGATAAGAGTACATGTTGTAATGTCTAAACAATCTAAAATATATTGCTAGCATTCTTACACATGTAGTCTTATTGTCTTGTATTTTATATTAGGATATGGCCTCATGGCTAATAAAATATTACTGTCATTTCTGACAAACCTATGCATTCTTGTTCAATTTTTAATGCAGAATTTCAATTCAGGTATTCCATTATTCAAAAGAGATTAGGATGAAATCACAATATGGTAAAAAATATACTTAAATATTCAAGTAATAGTTATGATAATTCTAAGCTATTCTTTTATTTTTTTAAAAAAAGATAAGCAACAGTATAAAAATTCTGTATTTATTTTTTGCAAGTTAAATTGTAATAATCGTGAAGTACATCTCATTTAAAACCAACCAACCAACAAATACTTATGGAAATTTTTGTCTAGTATCAGGTTTTTAGAAGCACAGAATCACATTTTTTAAGGTCTCAGAAATCTAAATATTTGACAAAACCTTTAAAAAATGCTGCAAATATTTCTCTGTTGCCCTATGTACTATTCCATATGAAACTGTTCACAAAGACTCAAATTGATCCTGAATTTTACTGAATCAATGCTTTCCAGAAAACAGGTAAGAGTTTGTGAGTTAAACCTTAATAAAGCTTTCAGTTCACAATTAACAACAACAACAAATAAGTGTCAGATATGAACTAGCATCTCCTAAAAACATATTGCCCCTTCCTCAGTTAAATATTTGCACACATATCCTATTAAACAAGAGTTTAAGCCCAATCACTGCCTGTGAACTACATTTCTCCCCCAAAATGTGGATAAACCAGTCAGTTAAAAAAAACCAAAAACCTTCACAAGTCCAAAGTGTATTTTTTTTTATTGAAAATTTTTAAAATTTTTACAAGAAAAAAAACAACCCTCCCCAACCCACCCCAGCCCTCCCGTTCCCTCCCTCAACCTTCCCAGAGCTGAATATAGGCTTAGTTAAAGTTTCTTAAATTCTTAAAAAAAAAAGTATAAACCATAGATAAGTCTAAATACATTACTTAAACAACTAATAAAGTAATTAACAATAATATATATATATATATATATATATATATAAAAACATAAATATTAAAAAATAAAAAATACTTAAAAAGAAAAAGAATAAAGAGAAAGAAAGAAGAAAGGAAATATAAGAAAGTAGAGTAATAATAAAAAATATAAAGAAAAAAAGTAATTCAATCTATAAAATATTAAAATTTATATATAAGTTATTGAAAAACTAAATAATATTTTTTTATATCCAACTTGTGTTGTATAAAATCTATCCATTTTTCCCATACCACAAAGAACTTCTCTTGCGATTGATCCTTTAAAAAGCCGAAATCTTTGCCATTTCCGCCAGATAGGATACTTTAGAAAACCACTCTTGCAAAATAGGCAAAGATTCCTTCTTCCAATATTGCCCTACTAACAACCTTGCAGAAGTCCAAAGTGTATTAATACTTGCAGCAATCCCTCATACTAAAACGTACCCCCTAATATTGTTTCAACCTCGAATCAGCCTCGAATCCACTAGGCTAGAGTAAGTCTTCAATTTGCAGGTTCTGGCAATCAAGGTTCTTGCAAAATTATCGCAGTAAATCTGTCAACATCATGGTGGCATATGAAAATGAAAATGTACAAAGTCTATAACAGTGATGGCGAACATTTTAGAGACTGAGTGCCCAAACTGCAACCCAAAACCTACTTATGCATCGTCGAATGCCGGATGGGTGTGGCCCATTGGCTGGGCATGGCCAATTGGGTAGCGTGGCTGTGGTGGTAACGGCAGACTGGGTGGGACTAAAAAGTTCAATCAATCAATTTCAACTTTGCAAGATCTTTTTTTTTCCCCGTGAGAAGTTGAAATTGACTGATTGAACCTTTTTTTTTTTTTTTTGCACACGGCGGCAGAGGCCTAAAGCGGAAAGGTTTTATAAAACCCAGCTGAAGGCCTAGGGCTGGGGCGATGACGCGCCTGCCCACAGAGAGGGTTCTGAGTGCTGCCTCTGGCACCTGTGCCATAGGTTCGTCACCACTGGTCTATAACAACAGACTGAGATAATATTAATATGCAAGGTTATGGGTAAAACACAGGAACTGAACGTTTTTCCCAGGGGAAATTTCTTATGATTAAATAATTGGGAGGACTGCAGGAAAAGCCTGCTTTGGAAAACTCAGGAAATCAGGTCACTTGGCAGGCTAAGCGAAAGATACTTGCTGCCTTTTGTCCTACAATTTTATCTTTCTGTTTCTTCTTCTTGGAAGATTTTTTAAAAAGATGGTGATATTAAAAAGTGAAAACAGAAAGGGGGAGAGAGAGAAGGAAAAAAGAACAAACTTTTAAAATATTTTGAAATAAAAATAACATTACTTGAGAAAAAACTGAGAGAAAACCTAAAAAATGAAATCCAGAAGAGGAGCATTTGGAGGAATTTCCAGGAATCTTGAAAAACTATGTCACGCAGTCACTGGTATCTAATATAAGGAGGAGGTGATCCACTTAAATAATACCCACACCAAATAAAAAGCTAACAATGTTATGAAAGAGTTAGTGGCAGCTTTTGGCCAATATCTCCACTTAATAAGTCAAAATATAATTAAGACATCTGCCTGTATATCTACTCTCTTAGCCTCCTCCCATCTCATTTTATTCAACAAGAAAAATGTCACTGTCTTCAGAAAAAGCCAGGATAGTATATCATAGCTTCAGTTGTTTGAATCCTGATTTGCCCCAGTTAATAATTGAATTTAATGTGCTTTGCAATAACAAAAATGTATAATATGTAAACATGCTTTAAACAAATCTATAAGATACAAAATTACCCTTATTTATAGGTTGTTCATAAATGACCTTATAAAATGAACTGTGGAAGAAAATCAAAATGCACACAAGGCTGATCTCATATTTTTCCCTAATCTATATCAAATCTATATCTATAGCAGGATTCTCCAAAGCGAACAATATTGACCCATGGGTTCATGGAACTATTCAAAGGGTTGATGTTGTTGCTATTATTTACTACTATTAAAGTAGTGTTTATTGAGAAATTATTTAATAAATGTTTGGGAATTGATAACAATATGAAGCTTCTTCAGAGGGTCAATGAGCTGAAGTTTGGGGATTCCTGATCTATACAATTGACATATCCCAATGAAGTATTAATTAAAGATAAATTACAATTCATCATTATATTGTACAGCTGGCTATCTGACCCAATCCTAGATGGAATAGTAATCAAAATTTCCCAAAAGACTTCCACATTTCACTTTTTAAGCCACTTAATCAGTTTGACATAATGTAAAAAAAGTCTAACAGTGGTTTTCAAAGATACAATTGTTAATAATACTTTCAATAAAAGGTGCATTAAAGCTGTTAGTAGCAAAATTGGGTCAGCTTCTAAAACATGAACATGCTGAATAGGGATGCATTACTAAATGTTTTATGGGCAGTAAAACATCTCTGTGAATTCTTTCTTTCCCATCAGTGTTTTAGTTCCTTCCATTCCCTGATGGACTGAACTACATATCAGTCAAAGAAAAATGTCTGAAATACAACTCATTATATCACAATTCCTTTATCATGCCTGCCATAGAAGCAAATATTTTAGCAAAAAATGCTAAGTAAACAAATAATGTTTTATTAACAATTACAGGAAAAAAATAACAACCCACAGTTGAATTTATTTTAGCATGGAGCTGTCTCACTCGAGTAAAACATGTAAAAAATATTGCTTTTCTACTGGAATCCTTCAATCTCTACAATTCCATCCATAAAACATGTAGATAAACCAAATAAACTACATAAATATAAAAGCACATTTTATGGCAGGAATATTCATAAATATCAGCTATCATGATGGCTCTAGATGTCTCTTTCACAAGCATTTGGCTTAGATCAGCATCTGGCTCTGCATCTGGCTTAGACCAGCAATTTTAATTTCGTTCAGCAGCTGATTGTCAATTATTATAGGAAATAAACACTTAAAATTGTATGTCAAAAAATGGCAAACCATTCTGCCAAGATGGTGCCTAAATACTGTTGATTACACATTCTACCCCATTCCTAAGTCAAAAAGAGTGGGAATGTGAAGGGAAAATGCAGATAGTATCTGAGAAATGCAGCACCATTTCTCAGATACTATCCAATAGAAGTCACTTATAGATTTCAACAATTTATGAAATGGGTTGGGGCTATGTTTCCATTATTTAAACTATTGACTAATTTCAAAGTTTTTTAGTCACTGGAGGAGGAAACCACTGGCAAGCAAAGATAATTCTTATTATAGTACTGGACTAATATTCCTTATCCTGTCCAACCTTACAATCTGTGGTTTTCATATGGCAATAATAAGAGCTATGTGTAGTTTTTTTTAAAAAAAGAAAAATCATTTTAAAAGGTAAGATACTGATGTAATAATATTGAATGCTCCCATCACAGAATATCATTATTATCGTGCTAAACTAATCTGCTATTCTGATCCAATTTTACTGTTCAAAGGTATGAATAATTAAGCTACATAAAAGGTAACCAAAGATAGAAATAACTAAGTATATTGCTTTAAATGATAGGCAAAAATACTTAAATACATCTTTCAAAAACTGGCATTCAGTACCTTTTTAACCTTTCCTTGTCGCTTTGCTGAAGGCTGCCCCTGGGAGTTAGAACAACATACTGTAAGAAAATATCCACAAAACTCTAAGAATGGAGACACTACCTATCAAGTTTTTATTTACTACTGAAGAACACTAAATGTCTTGTTCCCCTTAAAACATACTTCTAAAGCCCAATATTTTAGCTTTAAAAAACATAAAACACAAATGTTATCTGATTTAAATCTTCTTGATTTAAATCAATCCCAATATTTTGAAGCCCAACAATAGAGTTTGTAACTAACTTTTACTGTTTGCACACATTCCCATTTAAAATTCAATGAACTGAAATGGCTTTCTTAAACTTTCCATTTCTATTTTCATTGAATATTCTGTTCTATAACGGTAATACAACATTGGGGTAAGATCATGGAAAGCATTAAAAATCCTACAATACGACTTTGAAGAACTATCAATCACTCAAGTCAATTTTAGGTTTTTTTCTATATATGCCCTGACTTGTTTATAGTACAATACTACAATTAATTTTCTAGATCAGGGGTCCCCAACCCCCAGTCTGTGGACTGGCACAGAGCCGCAGCATGCCAGAAACCAGACTGTGCAAATAAGCAAAGCTCCATCCGTGGGATGCAGGCAGCATGCAAAACCACAGTCTCTCTGGTCCACGGAAAAACCTCTCTCCACGGAACGGGTCCCTGGTGCCCAAAAGGTTGGGGGTCGCTGTTCTAGATCACAACTTTACTGTATACAACACTGTTGTTATATTAGTGAAATTACCTCATTTCTTTCACATGAAAAGCAAAAAAGGTATAGAAATATCACTTGGTTTTAACAAATAATATTAATCAAATATAAATATATTGGACTGAGTATAATCTGGAAAAAAATGGCCAGTCATTAATTTTTGAACAGAAGCAGGCTACAGACGGTCTTCTATATTTAAAAAAATATGCTAGACTCTGACATGTTTTCATCTTAGCTGCACTGCACCAAAATCATCTATGGTTTGTGAAATATTTAAAGCAAGATGAAATAAGAGGCATAGAAAAATTCTCTAACTAAATTAATAATAATAACCTCTTCTATAATAACCAAGCCAAAAAAAAAAAAAAAACCAAAACCCACCAGGAATGTGGTATAATGTAGTGTTCTAAGGATAACAGCAGGGAAAAACCATCATTATTTTAACCACTGCTAAAATCTTTCTCCAATACCTATACAGTTACCACTGGTTTTGCCAAACTGAATGAACTCAATGGTCTAATTGACAAAAGTTACAATTTCAGAAAGCTTCCGGTGGGAGGCGACGGCGATGGCGGCTAGCTTTTAGCCGTCCAGCTGGGGAAGTGTCAGAGCCGCGGAGCGCAGCGCGCATCAGCTGGCCCGCGGCTCGGAAATCCCTTCCCGGGCAAAGGGAAGGGATAGAGAACGCAAGAGTAGAGGTAGAACCCCTGAACCCCCTCTGGATTTATTTCTAGAGGGGGTGAAAGGAGTGTTCCCTCGGAGCTCTTGCTGATCTCCGCCTCCCAGCTGTTTTTGCTTCCTTGGAAGCAAAAGAAACCGCCGCTTCTATCTCCGTGTTTACAGCATTTTGGTGAGTAATTTTTAAACGGACGGAGCAGTTTAAAGGACTTTTTCTTATATTTTAGGTGTTTATTTTTTTATCTTTTGATTTTTACTATTTTTCCTCCTTTTCTTTGTTATACTAGTGAAAGGACTTAAGATGGCGTTTTGAAAGTGTCGGAGTTTTTTTTTCCTTTCTCTTTTGTTTTACTTTCCCTTTTTAAGGATTGTTTTTTGCTTTTGCTTTTGCTTTTGGCTTAGAATTTTTTTTTGAATTGTTTGTTCTTTTATTACTTATTCTTGGGATTTATTCTGGACTTTTAATGATTATAGTTTGTCTCTTTTTAAAAATTCTTTTTTTCTTTTTTTCCTCCTCCCTTTTTGGCTGGAGGGGAAAGGGAAGTGACAATTGTGCTTTTTAAAATGGCTTCAAAGAGGCAGCAGCCTTCCTCAGTACCCAAGGTTATTTCTTCTCCTATAACTTCCACTGCACAGCTACAACAACAATCTAAACATGCACCACCGGCTCAGCCACCACCCTCCCCTCCTCTACCTGGACTTTCAGTGCAAGAGGTTAGAGGCATAATGGGAGAGATTGTAGTTCAAATGAGAGAGGAAATGACTCAATTTGTTTCACAGATTAAATCAGAAATTAAATCTGATCTCAAAGAAGAGATAACGGGGATAAAGTCTAAATTGCAAGAAAATAATAATGAATTACGACAAGATATACTGGCAGCTGTTTCAGGTTTGGCTACTGTGGTGGTTAAGCTCGATGCAAGGCTTGAGGAAGTGGAAGACAAAGTTGACTCTTTAGATGACAAAATTCAAGACGTGGAAAGGAAGGTGGACTCCTCACAAGAAGATATTTTGATGTTTCAATACAGACAAATGGAGTATGCTCTGAGGATTAGAGGCCTCAAGGAAGATATGAATCAAGATTTGATGGAGGTGGTTCTTAGTGATCTGGCGCTGGCTTTGGATATGGATAAAGGAGAATTACAGAGAGAAGTAGAAAAAATTTATAGACTCAACTCCTGGATTGCTAAGCAGAAGAATTTGCCCAGAGATGTGGTGATTTACTTTACAAAGAAGTCCCTGCGGAATGAGATTATACAAGCTTTTTACAACAAAAGATTTCAGATTGCCGCCCAAGATGTCATCATTCTAAAGGAAATCCCATCTAAAATTTTAAGAAGTAGGAAAGACTTTGCTTTTTTAACCAATGAGCTTAAAGCTAGATCGATGCCATTCAGATGGGAAATTCCGATGGGTATCGTTTTGAGCCATGCTGGGACACGTTACAGATTGAACACAGTTGACAAAGCTAGAGATTTCTATACTTCGGTCCTGAGTGCAGGCTCAACTTCATCTGGTCGGAAATCTTTGAGTGCTAAGGAACCTGAGCAGCAATCTGAGGCACTAGATTTGGTTTCCGCAGGGATGATAGAAGTGGCAAAGCAACGCCAAATGGAGGCTAAAGAGCAGAGGATGACTCGTGCAGCTTATAAGCGTAAAGAGAAAGAGCAACGTAAAAAAGAGCCCAAAGAGAATTCTCCTGGAAGTGCATCACCGCCGGTGGGAGGAGCAAGACCCAAGAGTTATGCAACACACGCAGCTCTGTCAGAGTTTGATGGTGTCTTCTCCAGGCTGCGTGCCAAGGGAGATGGCAAAGTTTTTGACCTGGAATGTTAATGGATTGAATTCTCCTCAGAAACGGAAAAAAATCTTTTATTATTTGAAACAACATACCAATGATGTTATTTGTTTACAGGAAACTCATATTCTACTTAAAGATCAGAAATATTTAGTTAATGCTCGTTTGGGATCTCATTTTATATCTCCTGCACCTGGGAAGAAAGGGGGAGTTGTTATATATGTCAAACAAAACCTGCCAGCTTGTCTGGTAGAATCAGATCCCCAGGGGAGATATGTGATGATTGAACTTGGTATTTATGGTAAGAAAGTACTTATAGTTGGACTTTATGCTCCAAATCAACAACAGGAACAATTTTATAAACAGTTACACCAAAAAATAACTTTGCTTGATTATAGATCGGTGGTATTAATGGGTGATTGGAATGGTGTCTTAGATACACAAAGGGATAAGAAAGGTTCCTCTCCTTTTCTTAAACAAGCAAGGCTACCTAAAGCCTTTTTTGATATGAAAGAAGACTGGGAATTAAGGGACTATTGGCGGGAACGTAATCAAGAGGAGAGAGACTTTACTTTTTTTTCTGACAGACACCAATCTTTTTCAAGAATTGACTTTTTCTTGATTACCACGGATTTGTATAATAAAGTAAAGAATGTAAAGATTTTTCCTAGATCACTGACGGATCATAGTCCAGTTTGGATGGAGTTGATTCAAGAGAAAGAGGAAAGAAGATCCTGGAGAGTTAATGAAAATTTGTTTAGACAAGAGAAGAATGTTCAAAAACTAAAGGAGTGTTTAAAGGACTATTTTGCTTTGAATATGTATAAGGGGACTTCAATGTCAATGGTATGGGATGCAGGTAAAGCATTTATGCGCGGTGTTTTGATAAAAATGAATAATTTTTATAAGCGAAATCAGACTCAGAAACGTAGAGAACTTGAAGATGAAATTAAACTAAAAGAAAGGGCTTTGATTCTAAATCCTTCTGATGAAAGTACTAAAGAATCTGTAAAGTTATTAAGGTCACAATTTAATATGTTGATAGCAGATCAAGCTGCAACCAATTTATTATTTATGAAACAAAATACATTTTGTAATGCTAATAAGCCGGGGAGATGGTTGGCTTATCAATTAAGAAAGAAACAGAGACTGAGAATAATAGAGAAAATAAATTATAAGGGTAAACTAGTTTCTCAGAAGGAATTAATTAAAAAATCTTTTTTGGATTATTATCAAAACCTATACAAATCTACTAATGTACAACTGTTAGATATAAATAAATATTTAGCTGAGGCAAGTTTTCCTAAACTGACTGAGGATCAGAAATATGAAATTAATGGTTTAATTACTAAGGAGGAAATCGCCTCAGCAATTCAACAATTGAAATTAGGGAAAGCACCGGGTACGGATGGGTTAACAGCTGTTTATTATAAAGCTTTAATGGAGGAGATGATTCAACCATTAAATGATCTTTTTAATGGTATCTTACAGGGTTTAGAGATTCCTCCTTCATGGCGTAGTGCTTTTATATCATTGATTCCAAAGGAGGATCAAGATCTTACTTTACCAAAAAACTATAGGCCTATATCTCTTTTAAACGTGGATTATAAGATATTTGTAAAAATTTTGGTAAATAGGCTTATGAGGGTGGTGCATCATCTTGTGCATAAAGATCAATCAGGGTTTATAACAGGAAGGTATATGAAAAACAATGTTAGACAAATTATTAACTTATTAGAATACTTAGATAAGAACAACCAAGTTCCTGCAGGGCTCATATTTTTAGATGCTGAAAAAGCATTTGACCAACTGAATTGGCATTTTATGCTAAGAGTAATGGAAGAAATGAATTTTGGTGAAAACATATTACAAGCCCTTAAGGTAATATATCAAAAACAAACAGCACAACTTATTGTTAATGGAGGTTTGTCGGAGGTTTTCACAATAGAGAAAGGTACTAGACAGGGGTGTCCTTTATCGCCATTGTTGTTTGTTTTAACATTGGAAATATTATTGATTAAAATTCGAGAGTCTCAGGAAATTAAAGGAATATATGTTAATAAAAAAGAATATAAGTTGAGAGCTTTTGCGGATGACTTGGTTGTTACTTTGTCGCAACCTGATTATTCTGTAGTAAACTTATTACAGTTGATTCACCATTATGGTTTGGTCTCGGGTTTTAAGATTAATGTAAATAAGACTAAAATTTTACCTAAAAATTTGTCGAGTCAGGAGAAGCAGATTTTGGTTAACTCGACGGGTTTTGAGATTGTTAATAAGGTAAAATATTTGGGGGTGATGCTGTCTGTTTCTAATGCAAAACTATTTAAAAATAATTATGAAAGGTTGTGGGTCGGGGTACAGAAAGACTTGAAGAATTGGGAAAAGCTGCAATTATCCCTCATGGGAAGAATTGCAGTGATAAAAATGAATATTCTACCCAAGTTTCTTTTTTTGTTTCAAATGTTACCAATTTTGAAAAATGAGATTAATTTAAATGAGTGGCAGAAGGGTCTCAATAAATTTATTTGGGCAGGGAAAAAACCAAGGGTTAAGTTCAAAATTATGCAAGACTTCCGTGAGAGGGGCGGACTCAAGGTACCAAATTTGAAATTATATTATGATGCGGTGGTTTTAACATTAATTAGTGACTGGGTAAATTTGACAAATTCTGAGATACTTTATCTAGAGGGATGGGATTTACTTTATGGGTGGCATGCCTATTTAATATTTAATAAAAAAATAGATTGGGCTTTTAAATCTCATATTTTAAGAATTTCTTTACTTAGGATTTGGAGAAAATATTATAAAAGTGATTTTAAAGTACCATTATGGGCTATACCTTGGCATGCGATAGAAGGAATAAAAAGAGGGGTTAAAATGGATATGGTGTCTTACAGACAGTTACTTAAATGGGATGGACAAAACTGGCAATTAAAATCACGGGAAGAATTAGCACAAGAAAATTTTACTTATTCTTGGTTCCAATATAGGCAACTACTAGATAGATGGAAGATGGATTGTAAGGTGGGTTTTCTTAGAGAAGATGAAAATCTTATTAAGCAACTGAAGGATCAAAGACAAACCCACATTAAGAGAATTTATGGGGTTTTAGTTGAATTGGACTCAGAAACGGAACTAATTAAAGATTGTATGATTAGATGGGCGCAGAACTTTGGTGAGCCAGTTTCATTGGACACCTGGGAAACTATTTGGGTGAGAAATGTCAAATTTACTCAAGCACAGAATCTAAGGGAGAATTTTTATAAAATGTTTTATAGATGGCACCTTGATCCACAAAAAATGTCTTACATGTACCCTGACGTGCAACCTAAATGTTGGAGATGTGGTTATAAGGAGGCTTCCTATTATCATATTTGGTGGTCATGTAGAGAGATAAAAGCATTTTGGATCAAAATATGGTGGAATATCCAGAGAATTTTTAGAAGGAGGGTAAAATTTACTCCGCAATTATTTTTGTTAGGTATTGTTACAGATTGTGATACAAAGGAGGTTGTATTGATGTTAAACTTGATCACAGCCGCGAGGCTGTTAATTGGACAATATTGGAAGAAGGAATCTTTGCCTACATTGCAGGAATGGTTTTTTAAAGTAGCTTATCTGGCAGAAATGGCAAAGATTTCGGCTTTCTTAAAGCAACAAACGCAAGAGAAGTTTTTTGCTATCTGGGACAAATGGATAAAATTTATACAATTTAGATTGGGTATACAAAAATATTATATAGCTTTTTCATAAGTTTTATTTTTATATATATTATAGATATCTTTTTTATATATATAAATATAAAGTTTTTAATTTAATTTTTATTTTTATTTTTTTTTTTTTTTATTATTATTTCTTAAGCCTATATTCTGCTCTGGGAAGCTCAGGGGGGGGGAAGGGAGGGTTTTTGGGAGGGGTGTGGGGTGGGGGTTTTTTTTATATGTATTGTTTAATTTTTTTTTCTTTTGTATATGTTGTTTTTTGTTCTGTATTGTTCTTGTTTTTTTTTTGTAAAATTTATAAAACTTTTAATAAAAAAAAAAAAAAAAAAAAAAAAAAGTTACAATTTCAGATACAATTAGTAAATTTACCTGCATCTGTTCCAAACAAACCTAGACTGAAAAACATTTTTCAGTTGGAAAATAACCAATGTATGAATGGTGGACATGTTTTTAGGATGAATGACTTAGGCTGGTAAAATCAATTCCTAAACCTTATCGATTATATTAAGTCAAATTGTTTTAGAAACTCATTGATCAGACACATTCCCTATACTCCTAGTCTGGAAAATATATTTAATGTGACTCTATGACATTTTAATATGAAATATATATACTTATTCCATATTTTTTTTAATGTCACTGAATAACAAAGGAATTATTTTGTGGATGCACTATTGGTAAACAAAATTTACTTGATAACAAATACTTGTATCTTTAATTTAGTACAACACGACTATAGCTTTATGCAATTCATTTTTATTATACAAAATGAAACCTTACAAAGCATATCATCAACAAAAGGATGGCCTAAAATAAGAAAGTACTTCCTATTCAGCAAATGGATGCTTGACAGCAACTATTTTAACAGAACCCGAATAACTAACACTAATTATACCTTTTTAGATTGAAATGAAACTCCAAGCTATGTAGGATAAAATAATATTACAGAAATTATTAAAAGCAATATAGCATACAATCTATAACAAGGTGCTGGAAATTACTGCAAAATAGCAAAAAAGAAACTTAGAAGCAGTAATATTGAAACAATGAAGAAAACTGGCATTTAGTATTTGAATCTTTTTAAGAGACTCCAGGAAAAAAAATCTGGATTACTGTATTCAAAAACATTTTCATACAAGTTTGTCATTTCAATTACCTTTTTAAAAAACAAAAAAAACAAAAAACAAATTTGAGTTTAGGGTTTTATTTTACTCACTGCTTTCTTTCCAAGTTCAGTCTTTGAAAGTGTCAATGATCCTGCAAGATAGCATCCAGGACTTGTTCCTTTAGGTACTCTAACAAACGAACAAGCGAAACATGCTTTAAATTCATGCTCACATTCCCATTTTTGTACCCCCCCATTGAAAAAAGGGTTTAATTCAACTGCAAATTGACTTAATTTCAGCAATACAATGTCAAGCCCAATACACAGGATGCAAATGGGAATAGGAGGCCTCAGGAAGCTACTTATTTGGATCCTTGATCCCACCCAAGAGATTTTTTTAAAAAAATCCAGCTCTGCTCATTCCAGTAACCTCAGTGGAACAGAATGGGACAACTCGCCACAGCCAACTCGTCATGGTCAACTCTCCATGGCCACCTCACTGCGGGACAATTTAACAATTCTATTTAATTATTTAAAATAAATAAAAATTATTTTTAATTTGCCCATGAATTAATTTTGTTATTCACATTTCATTCTGTCCCTCCTTTTGCAACCTTTCTTTAATGATTCTGTTTCACCATTTCTTTGATATTAGTGTAATTCTGGTTAGTTGGCCACAGAAGTTGGTCATGGCAAGTTGGCCACAGTGAATTATCATAGACCCTCAGTGGAAGGCTTGCCTTGGCCACTATTCCCTAAGGCAGTGGTGGTGAACCTAGGGCATGGGTGCCAGAGGCGGCGCTCGGAGCCCACTCTGTGGGCACGCGTGCCGTTGCCCCAGCAACGCCTCCCCCTGTGACCCCCTCCTCTCCAGCAGCCCCCTTGAAGGAGAGTCGCCCTCAAGCGTGGCCCACACAGAGCAGCACAGCCAAGGACATGGCAGCCAGGCAGCGTAGACAAGACTCTGCCCACACACCCCATCATGCAGTTGATGCTGCAGGGCGCGGGCAGAGAGTGTGGTTACCATAGTGCTGCTGGGCTGCCTGGACGATCTGTGGCAGGCCCTAGAGGCAGTGAGTGGTCCTGTGGGCAGGTGGGGCGGGGGATGGAGCGGGGCAGGGGGGTGGAGTGGGGGCGGGGCCAGTTTTTGGGCATTTGGTCTCTAAAAGGTTCACCATCATTGCCCTAAGGCAACAAATTCTAACTATTAGCAAAAATTGACTGCTTTAGATTTAATACACTAAGAAAAAACAGATTAAGAAAATATATGGAAACATGGGCATTGGAGACGAAAGGCAGCCAGATTTCAGTAGATGGTAGTGCCTGCAAGCATAGGATAGAAATAAATAGGCAGAACTATTTTTTTTTTATTCCAAAGTTTTAAAGTTCGGAATAGTTACTATGTGCCACCAAAGGGATATAACTTACTTGTCATCTGGCAAAGATGTAACAAAGAACGGCAGAGTGTAGTTTGGTGGCAGAGATATACTGTTTGCTTTCTTCTTCCCTAAGAGAGCCTGACTGTGGGTATCATATATATCTAAACTCAGTGCACTAGACAGTCTGTGAGAGACAATAAATGGAAGGTCTTTGATGCGATCCAGCTCACTGCTCTGCTCATGACGGATCTGTAGCCGCACGGTATAATCTCCTTTATCCAGTTTCAGGGAATACTAGGGAAAGGAGCAGTTTTTTAGTACCTGGACTCATACATTATTTGATGAAGAAGATTAACACACAGTAAAAAGTTCAACTTACAGTATTCCTTTCTAATTGAAATAGAATATTTTCACAAAACATGTCACTGCTAAGTATGCAAAATTTAAACTTGGACATTTATTACATGTTTGAGTGATAGAGAGGGATCTGTTATTAAATTCTTTGGAAAAAATCTAACAAGAAAAGTTACTCAAATCCCAATCACAAAGTAAGCAGTATTTCCAGACTTAAATTTTAAAATCTTATTCTAACATTACAGGGGAGGGCTTTTCAAAGCCTTCATCAAATTAAATTACAGATTTACCAGCATGAAGTAAATATATGTTTTGGTTTGAATGTTATGTATTTGAATTATAGTATCAATTTTTATGATACATATTTTCTGTTGAATATTATTTATAACAGGTAAATTTGTGTGCTATATAACCTATTTAAATTTGACTTAACTGGATCCTGAACATTCCTTACATAAACACAGAAGGTTCTTTCTCTCTGTAAAAGGGACTAAAATCTATTAGGAGTTCCAGCTGGAGATTTGATTTTTGCAGATCCTTGCCCTTCTTGTCCTGCAATTCTAGAAGTTCCCTCAGTACTATTAATCTCTGAAGTTACACTACAAACTGATGTAGAACTGTCCTCTATATCCAAATTCATCAGAAGGCTTCTGTGAGTGATTCAATTTAATGGCAAATGCTGGGCCAAGAAATTCTTAGTTCATCTGTTTAATAGTATTTATATTGCTTTAGGAGAAAATGGTTCATACCGGCTAAGCAATATTAATACATAAAATCTTGAAGTTTCATACTTTGTAGACAAATTATTTAAGAGTCTTGCTAATAAATAATTTTGTTCATTTATATGGATCAGCAACCTTTTAGAATTGCAGAACAGCTTAACTGTTATTACTGGATGGAATACTAACCTATCCATTTGCAGAACAGCCTAATATGGGATTGTGGTTTCATAGAAATATGTTTCTATCACTTATAACATAAGCTGTGACTTGTTCTATCCTTAAACCATTGTTCAGGATGTTATCACTGCCCATGCATTAGCAGAAGAGGAAACAGGCAAAAGCTAGATAGGCATTTATGCCCAAACAAGCACAGAAGGCTGTATACCGTATATTCCGGCGTATAAGACGACTAGGCGTATAAGACGACCCCCAACTTTTGAGAAGATTTTCAGGCTTTAAAAAGTCATCTTATACGCCAGAAAATACAGTACAATATTGAATTTCTGTTTATAGATGAACACAATAGGAGCTCCTTTGCTGCTAGAAAGCTTTGTCCTGTTAGTGCTTATTTCTGTAAAAAAATAGGGCTGGCCACTAGGGGGCAGATTGGTTTTAAATTCAGAGAACAGCTACCAGTATATTCCTCCGTATAAGATGACCCCTGACTTTTGAGAAGATTTTCAGGCTTTAGAAAGTCGTCTTATACACCGGAAAATACAGTATATTTCAAGCAGATTTTTAATTTTTCAAGGATACTTCAATCCTTTTCATTGTTTGCACATGGTTTCTAAACTATGCATTAAAACTATGCATTATCTTAGTTTTAAGGATCTTTAAAAGCCTATTACTACCTTGCAAAACTCATACAATGGCATGTATGGAATTCAGGAAGGTCTGTCTATCTGTACTACCTACCTATCTACCTATTCCCAGTTCAATAGATAAAAGCTGCATACATTTCCTAATGGCAAGCTATAAATTAGTCAAATTTATAATAAATTTGTAAAATATTTAACTGTTTAGTTTATAAAATCAAACAACTTGTTCAAGAAGCAGATTTATCAGAACAATATTGTTACTCTTCATAGTATTCACAAGTAGGAATATTTGCATAAGAAATGAAGAATAGTGTATAAATTAATGAAAATTCAACTTGAAAATGAAAAAAATTCCTAATTCTTCTTATATTTATTTGCATAAAGATGACAAGCACTGCATCCTAAACCTAAAAAGACTATGGAATTACATAAAAAATGACTTCAAACATATTGGCGTACCTGGTTAGGATAAGCATCACCTGATCCCATTAGTTTTTTATTCTGGTCAAAGACAATCCATAATTGACTGTCAAATTCTGATTCATATAAGAGTTCACAAAGCAAGGGGCAACTTGGAGTTACTTCTCCACTTTTGGGCTGAACAAAAATAAAATGATAAAGGCATTTAAAAACAAAATTAAATAATATTATTTATACTGATGGTGATAATTTATTAAACTTGCTTGCCATCTGATTCCAAATGACACTGTGTGGCTCATAATTTATTAATTTTTTTTATTAAACAAATTTATATGGCCAAGAAACTCTGGGTGGCTTACAACATTCCATAAAGAAATATTTTATTGAGTTAGGATTAGATCCAGTTAAATAACTCAAACTTACTTGATGAAAATTGTATGTCAAAACCATCTCATACAATTGTCGATTATTTGGCAATACGTCTCGGGATCCTAAAGGCTTTATTTTAGCACTCAGTGGTCTGCAATCCAGCAATACAACAATACACATTAGGAGAAAAATGAAGGTAAGGTTTTAAAGAATAACAGAGTTCAAAAGGGGAACTTGGAGGTCTTCTAGTTCCACCCCCTGCTCAAGGAGGAAACCCTATACCATTTCAGTCAAATGGTTGTCCAATCTCTTCTTAAAAACCTTCAGTGTTGAAGCACCTAAGACTTCTTGAGGCAAATCCTTTCACTGATTAATTGTTCTGTCAGGAAATTTCTCCTTAGTTCTAGATTGGTTCTCTTTTTGATTAGTTTCCATCCATTGCTTCTTGTACAATACATTTTTAAAACTTGTACATATACACAGATATGCTTACTAACTTAATTTATGTACACATTTAATTATATTAAACACAATTTAACAATCTAACTTTTGTACTTATTTTAATTTGCTTAAATTTATATGCCATCCATCTTGCATTTTGAGGCAACTCTGGGAAGTTCAGATGACAGCACAAAACCCAGACTCACAGGGCAAAATATTTCAAATTCATACTGTCTCAGGGACAGAACTTCTCACCTTGAAACTGAACCAGGTTCTCTTGATTATTTCAAAAATGTTATGACCAAAACAATCTGCCTCAGATATAAATCACGTGTCTTGACTGCAAGCCGTAATTCTATTTTTAGTTTTCTAATTAAATCATTATTAAAAGGCCTCTAAACATTCAACAGACTTCCAGTAATTATGTACTTAAAATAAATAGGGAATATCTTTCTCAACTATTAAACTTACTTTATTATATTTATATTCGGCATGAGGGAAAGTTGTTTAATCTTACTAACTTCAGTACAAGTTATTGATTTCACTATGAATCACAATGATCACTTATTTCAATCTAAATTTAGTACCTTAGTGTTTGAACCCAGCATTTGAGATTTATGGAAGGTGAAATATCTTCGTATTTCAGTGTTGCCTGAACATCAAAACGCACTATGCCTTCTGAAGCATGCTATAATCAGAGTGAAAAAGTTTATTTGAAACACATTGCAGATTAATGTTATGCCAACAATACATATTTAAAAGTCATGCTTTTCCAAGGTGCTTCCACAAGAGCTGGCAACACAATATATGTCAGCTCTGCCATCTTTGCTATGTATCACTAAGCTTGCCGGCATCCTGCCATAAACTGAGGGGGGGGGGAAGTTAGGGAGGTTATGCAGGTGGTGTGAAGAGGGGTATGAGGGAAGAGGGAGGACATTGACAGGAACCAGAGGTGCCAAGTGGCCAGATTCCACCGCCTCAAGGATGCCTGACCTGGGAAAGTATGTGAAGCTTCTCTGAGACATGCCTACAATCAAAGTGGATCCCAAAATCTCAGGCTGGCATGCTGTTGGGCACCGACACTCTGGTCACGGGGGAGGGCCACATCAAGGAGAATACTTTGTATGTTTGTGTGGGAATATTCAGATCTAGCCTTGTTTTTGCTGCAATCACTAACCCTCAGTAAAAGAATCTATTACTTCAAATAGAGTCAAGGGTCTTTCTTTCCTAGGGATCTAGCTGGGGCAGGTTTGACACCATAAATAAATGCCATAAAACTTCAAGGACCCCTTAATCCATTTACAAATTCAAAACTAAAATGATTAACCTAATAAAATTGGTCAATTCTATGCAATATTATTTAACTCTATTTAATAATCTCACTGGATAAGATTGCTGAAATTGTGCCTCCAGGCAATTTGGCTAGGCATTTGGTAATACTACTAACTTATGATTTTAACAATGCTACATTTTAAAAACAGACAGAATTTAAAAAAAAAAAAGCAAATTGTGATACTTACAATGTTCAACTGAGATGTAGTGCAAACTATGCCATGGAAAGAAATGGAATAATCAATACTGACATCACTGAGGCTTGCCCACCATCGGGCAATACACAATTCAATTGTTCTTCCCCCCTGTTGGGAGGAAAAGAAAAAAGAAATGTATTTCAAGCCTTCTTCACTTGTAAGTCTTATCCCCTTATCCCAAGGTCTGAACATTTTGCATCCCAGCAGTTACCAAAAATAGTCATAAACCAAGGAGAATGTGGATGCTGAATATAACTTGCAATTCTTAGTGATGACTAAACCAAACCATTCAAGTTTGCCTAATTGTTCAATTTACTTCTTCTCCACTCCCCTCTGTAGCCTGATGAAGAATGTTAGAATACTCAAAAAGTCTGATATTTTGGGTGGGTCTAATAAAACAATAGAAAGCCAGTTTGGTGTAGTGATTAAGGCATTAGGTTAGAAACTGGGAGACTGAGTTCTAGTCCTACCTTAATCACAAAGCCAGCTGAGTAACTTGGGCTAGTCGCTTTTTATCAGCTCTAGGAAGAAGGCCATGGCAAACCATTTCTGAAAAACCTTGCCAAGAAAACTACAGGGACTGATCAAAGCAGTTTCCAAGAATTGGACACAATTGAATGGAAGAAAAAAAATACCACCCAGATTTGAAGGATATTCTCCCATTAATAAGTTAATATGGCTTTCTTTTTCATACATCTTAGAACTTATTCTATCCATCTATAATAAGTTAATATGGCTTTCTTTTTCATACATCTTAGAACTTATTCTATCCATCTATCTATGCTATGATCTCTGGAGATATGATCTCTGTTTTTTATTAAGCTCAAGAATGTTCCATTAGTTTTAATGAATTTATTTAGTGTATAACATTATAAACATAGATGCTCAACAGCTGTGTTGCTGAAAGAATAATTTCCATTATTCCTAGCCAGCATAGCCAGAGTAGGACCAGGTTTCAGAAAACTGCTCTGTTACACTGTTTGCAGAAAAGATGATTCCTGATCCCACAGCATACACAGTCAATATTCATCGATTTGGATTACAGATTTCTAAGCAGCAAGTGTTTAATATCAGACCTGAAGAAGCTTCTTGGATGAGAAGCGAAACATCTTCAAAGAAAAACAAAAAAGTCCAGTTTCCTCATGAAAAAGCACCTTGGGGACAACCATGACCTGGATGACTGAGAATCTCCATAGACATCAGAAACAAACAACAGTTATACCCAATCAGTCTGATGTGCTATTGTTTTAGAAAGCAACTTATTTGTTCCCAAATACTTTACTGAAAAGCCATGTATTTATAGCTCTATGAAAGAGTAATAAGGAAAGGATGGATCAGATATCTGTAGGCAAGTTGCTGAAGAGGACAGTTTAAGTCTATGAAAATGGCTTTATTTCAGTAGCGGGTCCTTCAGTAAGCCATCTCCCAGATCAAATGGATGGGCAGATTCAACTCAGAGAAGATGGTCATGGAAATAACCAGGCATTGAATGTACAGGGCTTTAATGGTGACATCACCTAGAACAGTGGTGGTGAACCTATGGCACGCGTGCCAGAGGCGGCACTCAGAGCCTTCTCTGTGGGCACATGCGCTGTTGCCCCAGCCCTGCCTCCCCCGTGGCCCCCACCTCACCAGCAGCTCCCCCCAGAGGAGATTCACCCCAAATGCGGCCCATAGGGAGCAGCGCAGCCAAGGAAATGGCCGGGCGAAGGGACAAGACTCTGCCCTCATGCCCCACGCATGCAGATGATTCTATGGGGTGCAGATGGAGGGCGTGGCTGCCATGGCACTGCTAGGCTGCCTGGGCAATCTGCGGCGGGCCATGGAGATGGTAAGTGGCTGGGTGGACGGGACAGGGGGCAGAGTGGGGGGCGGAGTGGGGGCGGGGCCAGTTTTTGGGCACTCGGTCTCTAAAAGGTTCGCCATCACTGACCTAAACGTTCCCCAAAAGCAAACTGCCAATCAATGTAACTCCTACAGAAGTAATATTATGCGGGCAAATATTAAAAAACTCATTAGAATATCCCATATTTTAAAAATCTATGACAAGGAGAATTGTTAAAAATGTAAAAAATGTCTTTATATTAGTTTCACTATTAAGGCACATTACATTAGTTTTTAATACTAAATACATTAATATTGCCTTACATTCTGTAGCTGACATGTAGAATTTCTACAATGAAAACAGTGTAGCAGGTTACCAGTATTTACAATATTCAAATAAGAATCTTAGTTGAAAGACTATTCTACACAACTCAGATAAGTCACTCTCAAGCTCAGCACATTATGACTGACATTTATCACATATCAATGTAGCATATAAACAACAGCTATTAACTCTATTCTTAATTTAAGGGACTTACTAATACTGGAAATGCTTCGGTGACTGATCCTTTTTCTGGTATTGAAGAGAACTTGTAGAACTCATGGTTTCGGTATGCCTTTTGCTTTACTAACTGAATTGCATGGAGAATAAACTTGGCAGTTACATCAGATGATGATGAACAGACTGTGACTTCTAAATAAGAAAAGACATGACTTTAATACTATTATACAGACTTGACTTCTGGCTCCTTTCTCTGAGGCAAATATGTATCAGAAAAATATTGATAAATTTTGTTTCAGAGCATTTAACTTCTCAGTAATAAATATGTTCATTATTATTAAAACAATAAAAAAATCCTAACAAGCGTTAAACTGATGAAAAACACTTTTAATCTAAACATATAATACTACAGATAGATTTCAGATATATAATAAAATGTCCTCCAATACCTATACTAAAATCTCCATGGATATCACGAGGAATCCAATAGATTCACCTTACCAGCCCAGGTGGCTCCAGATGGAACTTCAATGAAGTGTCTCTGAATTTGTCCAGGTTTAAAATGAACATCAGTAAATTTGAGATCAAAGTGTGAGGCTTCATCTGTCCTGTGATTAAAAAAATTAATTGTAAAAAGCTCACTTTAAATTATCAATACAGACTGGAATATTATTTTAATAAGGTCCAAAAACATTCATGTCATTCTTAATTATATAAAAATATTTTAAAAACTAGCTGGCTTTGACCATAGTATCTAATTGAGAATAGTTATTAATGTTTTTAGTTATACCTCTGAACACCAAGAGCCATCTTGGTATAGTGATAAAGATACCAGGCTAGAAATTAGGGGACTGTGGGTTCAAATCTTACCTGAGGCACAAAGTCAGCTGGGTGACCTTGGGCCAGCCCTAGGAAGCTAAGAGTTCCTGGCAAACCGCTTCTGAAATCTTGCGAACAAAATTGTAGAACCTGTCCAGGCAAGTGGCAACACTAACTCGAAGGCAAACACACACACAAAAAAACTAATCTCTGAACATTTCCAGGGATTCAGAATGATACTATTATTATAGAAGTTGTAGTCTAACGCATCTAAAAAGCAAGACATAGGGAGAGTTTTGCCCTTTATGGTGGTCCAAAAATATTTCAAATAATTACAGTACTAAAGGACTATCCTTGATTAAAAAATTAAAAAAAAATAACAGACGATCGATCATAAAGAATTCTGGCTCTTGATACCATTTTTAAATAAGCAAAAAAAAAGGTAAATAAAATTTCAAAAATTTATATCATGTGGCCAGAATGACATCAAGGAACACTGTTATCTTCCACAGAAGTAGTATTTATCTACTTGCATTTGCATGATTTTGAACCACTAGACTAGCAGGAGCTGGGACAAGGATGGGAGGTCACCCCGCCACATGGCATTTGGGTCTTGAACCTGGGATGCCGGCTTTCTAGCCAACAAGCCCAGCATCTTAACCATTGAGCCACCCCTATACTGTATATAAATGGATTTTATTTCTATTTACTATTATTGTTCGGAATGTATATCAAACAACAGAAACAGAAAGTAAATCTCCCCCCATAAATATTGCTACAAATTTTCTGACAAGAGTGAAAATCATTTTTAGAAATTTTAATTAAGCCTATATTCAGCTCTGGGAAGGTTGGGGGGATGGAGTGGGAGGGTTGGGGTGGTTGGGTAGGGTTGTTTTTTGTTTTTTATTTTTTCTTTTCCCTATTTGTAAAATTTTAAAAATTTTCAATAAAAAAAAAAGAGTGAAAATCCATGTACCTTGTTGGTATAACAACAGTTATCGGAACTCTGAACAAAGGTCCTGCATTGGGCATTGTTATTTCGTAACCACACACCTAAAGCAGTGAAAGGAACACAAATTGTCATATGTTTAATATTTCAATCTTTAAAAGGCACTTTTAAGTGTTTAATATTAATGGTTTACAAAGTAAATTTCTTTAAACTTTATAAATTAAGGATTATAACTCAGTTTAAATATTCTGAGAAAAAAAAATTCAATTCATTTTAATCTTCACAGTGAGCTAGTATCTTTACCTGGCACACTGTCCTAGGAATTAATTCAATTTAATTAGAATGAAAAGAAAAGAAAAAGAGAAAATAGAATGTTTCCTTAATACAGGATCAAATCTGGGTTGGTCACTGGGACTAGTCTTCCAAGCTTTTGGACTTGTGATGGAGCCCATCCTCAGGGAACTTCACTCTACTAGAATGTGTGCTTTGGGCTATTCTATGCATAGTATTTATATGGTGCCCAGTTGTGTGTGGCTTTTTATTTGTTGATTGAGACGTCGATGGCCAGTTATTAAGTTATTGGCAGTTGTTTCCTTGTGCTGCCAAGTCCTTGGCTCGTAAATACCTGATAAGCTGGTGGTAAATTAGCACTCCTGTTGACTTGACAAGGGGCCCATTTCCCAGGCTTCAATCATTTCCCTGGTTATCTTTGTACTGTTTGGCCAATAATCTTAGTAGCTGCGAAACTGAATGTATGCCTTGTTCATTGCAATGTGAGGCTACCAATGAGTTTGGGTCTCCTCGTCTGACCACTTGCTTGTGTTCTTGCAATCAGGTGGTTAGCTTTCCTCCCCATATGTCCTGAATAGTCACAGGGGGAGTCCATGAAGGGGATCCAATAGATTACACTGGAATTATCTCCCACCTCCAAGCACATCTTTGCAATGCGTGATTTGTCCTCGTATGGTAGTCTCTGGGCGGTGTGCAATGCCCACTTGCAGATCTCAGAGGTTGCGTTCTACTACTTCCGAAATGTATGGCAGACAGACTGTGCCATATAGTTAGCCTTGTACCTTCTTTCTTCCTTTCTCTCCCTTGTATGTTGAGTAGGCATCTTGTAATAAATGTTTGTACCTATTCTGTCTGTATTGTTCACGCAGGTACCTGCTCTCCAGTTGGTTAGTTTGCTGGGTATTACAGTGAGTTTTCACCCTACCATACAGTGTTCTGACACAACTCTTTTTGTGTGACAATAGATGGTTACTGTTGAAACTAAGAATGCAAGGAATGTTGATGGTCTTGCGATAAACCGTGGTTTCTAGGCTTCCATCTTCTTGCCTATTGACAAACACATCTAAAAATGGTAATTTTTACTTTTCAGGTATCCCAAGTGTTTTTTTTTATTTAAACATTATTAACTCCAAAAATAAATTCTTCTTTTTCTGACCAATATTCTATTGTTTTTCAATGTTTCTCCAAATGTCCAATACTTAATTCCATCATTTTCCATATTTCAGTTCTTTTCTCATTATACCATCTCTAATATTAAAAACATATAAAGCCCTTTTAACAAAGTCCAAGTCCAAATCAATCCAGATCACTATAAAACCTTTACCACATTACTATAATCAGATTTAATATTTATATCGTATTCTGGGTTTCTTTCTAATCCAAACAGGTTTCCATAATCGGGCTTCTGCCTGCCACACTATACACTCCAAAAAGGAAGCTCCCAATGTGCATTTTATAAAATTAATATAAAAGTTATAGTTAATCTGAATGACTCGCAGCAGAACATCATTTCCCCTTTCTTTTAACATTAAATAAATTTCAATTAAAATCCTTTCTTTTATATCGTCCTCTTTGCTTGCGTTTTTCTCTTCTTCCCATGTTTTTTTCTCTATCTCATAATCAAATGGCGTTTGCGGGCCAAATTGTCCTTCTGAAACAAGATCGTCCAGTTCCTTTTCATAAGTCCTTTGTCCGTTGCTATCAAGTTTTTTTTCCAAAATAAACTGATTGTCCAACTGTGAATTTACTTCTTCCACCTCAGTAAACAGAGCACAAGCCTCTTGTGTGTAAACTGATGTTTTACTTAGTCCTTGTCTTTTGCCTTGTCAAAACAAAGAAATCTCCTTTTAGCAAGCAATTATCTTCTCTGTATTTTCCAAAATTTTGTCCAAAATATACTTATAAGTAAGACCAACACCTTTTTCCTCCATCTTTATTATAATTCAAATCCATATCCTTTTGAAGGAGACTATATTTTAAAAAACAAACACAATATCCATCTCCTCCCAGTTTCCTCGTCTTTTTCCTTTGTACAAAATAAAAGCCTTTCCAGCGAAGAAAAGATAGCAAATACAATGAATAAATTTGTCGAAGAGTGTCCCCCAGAAAGTAATCAAATGTTCAGTCCTTCTGGCCACCATAAAGATAAAAGCAAACAATATTCTCCAAATAATATAAAAAACTTTCTTGAGGTTCCCAATATTCAAAAATAAAATCAATCATTAGAACAAAAGTAAATATAATCCTTTGTGCTTCTCTTTCCCCATTTAAAAAGCCGCTTCACCAGAAAAGGGAATAATTCCAAGAAAAAAAAAACTTTTCACAGGCGTAAAGAAAATAGAGGTGAAAGGAAAGTCTCACTGAGTTCTCCACGGTGGGTCCGTTTGCTTAGCTGATCTTGTGGCTTGCGGTTGGCACAGCTAAATGATCAGCCATTTTATTGGCCAATTTTTACCCTGTCGGCCCAAAGGAGATACTCGGTGCACAGAGGATGCCGCCACTCCTCTGCAACTATCCGAGAAGCCTCCTCAATGGTAGACGCTCCTCCAGAGTGTCTTTTCGACCCTCTAAGGCAGTGCTGGCGAACCTATGGCACGTGTGCCATAGGCGGCACGCAGAGCCATCCCTGTGGGCACGCACGCCATTTCTGGGCTCCTCACCCTCCCCCTCTCCACGCATGCGTAGTCTGGGAACAGCTGCAAGAGCTGGGCGGGGGGAGGGAACGTATCAAAGGAGCAGTTTTGGCGGGAGAATGAGTGAAATCAGAGACGCCATCTCCCTTCCGCAGTGCAGCCCCATCAGCGTGAGCGGAGACGGCCCCGGGAGGGCCGGAAAGGAGCCCTCACCTGGTGCGGGTCCTGTCTACAGGGTGACTCTGACGGGGGGAGGGGCGGCTGCTGCTCTGAGCCCCTTGACTGGCCAACCACACAGAGAAGCAGGAGGCGGCGGCGTGATCCTTGTATTGCCAAGCCCGCCAGCCGCAGATCTGAAAGCAAAACTGTGCTGACCATCCTCGCACTGGTGGGAGCAGTGATGGGGGAAGGTGAGTTGTGGCAGATGCCCTCCCCTCCCGGAGGCGCACCCGGGACAATGTGCGGCAGCAGCGGCAAAGGGTGCCTGCATGCCAGATCCTGCCTTCTCCCACTGCCGCCAGCGTGAGGATGGTCAGCAGAGCTTCGCTTCCAGATCTGCTACCTGACACTATCGCTCCCCCCCCCAGAGAAGCCAGCGAGCACATGGGGGCTGACGGTGTCCATCAGCAGCCACAGCATGCTGGCTGTCCTGCATAATGGCGGACTGGCCACACAGCCCCATTGGCGTGGGCGGAAATCGCTCTGGGATAGCTGGAAGAAAGCCTTTGCCCGGCCTGGGCACATCCACTCAATGGATCTGATGGGGGTGGTTTCTGCTGCTGCCTTGACCGGTCAGCCCTACAGGGAAGCAGAAGGGGCAGCTGGTACACGAATCTGCTGCCTCGTCGGGCTGCTAGTGAGCAGCTGAGGCAGCTCCAGGCCCCTGGATGCCCCTCCACCTCCTCCTGCTTCCCTCTGACCAGTCAGAGCAGCATCAGAAGCCACCCCCATGTGATCCGTCGAGTGGATGCACCCAGGCCAGGCAAAGGCTTCCCCCCATAAATCAGCGAGAAGTAAAACCTCTCTTATTACACCTTAGTTCACAACCATAATAAGTTGCTCCTCCTGAGCAAAGGCACATGAACTGGGTTTGCACCTCGATCTAGTTTTTGGGTAGAGGGGGGAAAATAGCAAGCCCCCAGGTGCCAATGCAGCAAAAAGATTAATGGGCTGCTGCGACCTGCCTCTTTTTCCAGCTGCTGCAGATGATGGAGCTACTAGCACCAGGCAGAAGAGCGGGGCCCTGAGGCGGGGAAGTGAATCTCACTCCCTGGGCTGCGAAGCATAGAGCAATTGGGTGGTGGGGTGCAGACAACACGCAGGCAAGAGAATTGAGAATGAGAAAGACGTGGCGGAAACGGCTCCGGGACACTTGCCTCGGGGCTCACTCTTCTGCCTGGCTGCTAGAAAAAAAAATCTCGGGAACTAAGTTTTTTTTATTATGGTTGTGACCGAGGCCACGCCCATCCAGTTAGCCAAGCCCACCCGGCATGCAGCAATAAATAAATGGGATTTGAGTTGTGGTTTGGGCACTCGGTCTCTAAAAGGCTTGCCACCACTGCTCTAAGAGGTCTACCGCAGGGGAAACTCAATCGGCAAAGGGACGACTCCCTTTGCTCGACCGCACCGCCACGAACCGGAACCGGAAGCCTCATTTTCCAATATTCTTTTTCCATTATATAGTTGTTTTGTTTGAGTTGGCTGGGATTAGTATTCTCATCTCTGTTGTCTTTGCTGGTCTATATGCTGAGGAATCACTGAGCAGGGTGAATGCCTTCATTTCATAATTTGTATGGTTCATCAGCAACATTGAGTGGCCGGTCTTTCAAGGTGCATTGCTCCGTTGGGCTGAGTGCATTGTTTGGTTTTTGTGCAACCAGCATTACTGATATTTTTGTCTGATAGAATGTTTTTCTGGCTCTTCTATCTCTACTCTGCTGAATCTGGATTCTAATGCTGCTCTGAATTCTCTTGGTGTGGCGTCTTGCATTATTAAACCCCTCATCATGTTCAAGTATTCATAATTCCTGTTGGCTTAACTGTTTGTTCAATAAATTATGGACCAAAATTCACACAGGTTTTGGATTGTGGCTTTAACTTTTGAATTTTTTCTTCAAATAGTTTCTTTTTTGTCACCTGTCTTTTTTAACAAGGTCCTAATAGCATTTGCTAGGTGATTGACTAGTTCTTCTTCAAGTAATGATAGACAATGCTCCTTATGGATATTGACAGTTGCTTTATACTTGCCCAGTCTTAGATGGCAGTCATTACTTAAGACTTCTAATGTATGTTTGCTGAATGCTTTTGTCATATGTCTGCCCATCTCCAAGTTGACTGGTGGTCGGTAATGTAGGCTTCATAGAATCACCCCTTCCCGAGTGCAGCGGTGGTAGGAAACATACTTGTTCGTAAGTGAACGCCTCGTGTGTTATGAAGAATTTCCAAAACTGAACTGTTTGAATCACTAGCTGCCCATATCTCTCATGAATGAAGACAAATATATGTGTCCCAAGATAATGTTATAAAATCCAACTTGGATTGGTTACCGGGACCAGAAATTTAGTCTTCCAAACTTTCGAACTCATATTAAAGTCATTCTCAGAGAATTTCTCTCTACCAGAATGTGTGCTTTGGGCTATTCTATGCGTATAATAATAACAACTTTATTGTCACTTTGAAAGTACACCAATTGGCATACATCAAAATGTAATTTCATTGCATACAGCTCTCAAAGGGTCACCACCTCCGATATACACTCCTTGTTTGTGGCCAACTCAAGTTACAGATCTTCCATTTTAGTCTCTAGGGAGCGAACGATGGCAAACAGGACAGATGGAAATGGAGCGCCATGTGGATATGATGCCTGGTTGTGTGTGTTTTTTTATTTGTTGATGATGGTTCTGATGGCCAGCTAATAAGTCGCTGGCTGTTTCCTTAATGCTCATTTTCCATTTTCCCCTTCTACTTCAACAGTGTAAAACAATGAAAAAGACTTTTTTTTTCAGCCCCATCTCTCCCCAACAATGCTATCACAAACAGATTCAAGTGGGAATCTGAGATAGTAATTCTAGTACATCTTTTGATCTATAAGAAGAAGAGGTAGCATGACCAGGATACTTCTGATAAAAACAAAATCCTGTCTAAAGTTCTTTAGTTGAACTGTGAAGAGAAGCAAAACCAATACCTCCGTATAATGAACTCCTTCTCGTAGGCCACGTGGATCCACACGGACATTAATATGTCTACACTGATTCATGAGCTCCAAGTGAGTAGGACACTGAACCCAGGAAGCGTTTGATGTTAGAGCTAAATGAAGCTGCAGCGATATCCTCTCATTATTTTCTGAAACAAGAACATGCAACTTTAAATTTTAATCTCTTTAGAATTTTAATTCATCAGTTTAAATCATCATTTCACAACTCATTGAAAAGAAAGGTGCAGTTTCACAGCTATTGACAGTGGCTCTAAATTTACTACTTTTTAAAAAATGGCAGGCCACACAAAGCTGTATGGTGGGCTGGAGGCCTGGTTTAAATCATCAATTCTGAACATAAGAAAAGATAGTAATAATAATAAAACCCTTTACATATAGCATCAACACCTATATATCAATAGATTGGGGTGTGAAGCTAATTCACCTCCTTGTGGTGTACCGTAGATAGCATGAAAATGTTAACTAAACAAACTAGCAACTAGCCAGACTATTCTGTAGACTTTCCTGGTTCTCAAAATACATGGCAATGAAAATGAAAACAAAAAAGGACCTTTTCAGGTCCAAATGACAAGAGAAATCAGGAATATTATTCAAATCTGCCAAATCAACATCCATGGACTCCACAGATCCAAGAGCCAATATGTTTCGAAACTTTTATTGGACAGTAACACCGATATAGCCATCCTCCAAGAAATGCACATAAAAAACAAAGAATAGCAACTCAGAAGAGGCAAAATACAATCTTTTGGGAGCTACCTACCACTGCAGCTATGGCATGGCTACATATGTTAGAAGGAATATAGAGGATATTTTCTTGCTGTCAGCCTCTATAAATAAAATAGTTTCCAAACTAGACTACCTAATATCTGACAGCATGACCACAGTATGTCCTGAACATCAAGCTACACTCAACAATCTATGCAGGCGATTTCAATAGCCATCACGTTAATTGGAAATATTGTTCCACTGATGACAATGGTGAACTATTGTCTAACTGGGCCGCAGCAAACAAAGTCAAACTGATTTTCGATGCTAAAGACAAGGACATGTTTGAATCAGTGACATGGAACTGCAAAACCAATCCAGATTTGTGCTTCATCACAGAAGGCCCAAACTTGCAGCCAGTCCCCATAAATAGGAAAGTAATGGATATATTCCCACAAAGCCAACATTGTACTATCTTGCTAGAAGTTGGAATCCAATTTCCCCTAATTTGCTCTACCCCTAGACCCAGACAGAACTGGTAACCCAACCAACAGGCTGCTACAATAACCTAAGCTTATTCTTACTTCATAGTATCGTTTATCTGTATGTATTTTTATCTTATTTATTAATTTAAACAATTTATAGAGTGGCCCATCTCATAGCAGTAACTCTCAAATCTTCCCAGTATCTCTACCTTTGAAAATATTTAATGCAAATAGCTTACTTCTACCTGTATTTTCTGGAAAGAAAGGTTCTATTCCAACACCATGGTCTGAAGGTGCAGCTACTTGAACAGGCTCTCTGAGGTAGATTCCACGTTTGTAACCAACAGTAATAGTAAAGCCTATGTTGCTAACAAATGATTTATTCTGAATGAGGTAGTCATAGGCTTTATCAACCTAGAGAAAAATGAATTAAAAAATAAGCTTAAATCAAAATTAACCAAGATTTCCTTCAGTATGAAATTCACGTTTACATCTGCCTAGAAATAATATTGACTGACAGTAGTTCCATGAAACAAGGTTTCCTCCAGCTTGGGTAGTGGTCCAAATAAATTCTTAAAAAATAACTCAAAGTCTCCTACTTTAGCTGATGTACTGCTAAAAAACAGATTTAGTTTAGGACTAAAAATTTGAAGTAAATCTCTCTTTCAGCCATTACCTTTGGAAGTTATTTTAAAATGTCATTGTTTGTTCTGAAGAAAAAAAGCTATCTAATAATGATATTACAAAGTAAATGTTTACATTTCTTAAATTAAAAATCATTACAGGAACCATTTCCATAAGGGACTTAACCAGCAGAGATAAAATCTTCATCACAGTAACTTCTTTGTAAATACTCATTTAACTCTTTTTAATCGTTTTCATTATTTATATTGATCAGTTTTAGAAATTAAAATCTAAATTTTCACTACAGATGTCCTCTGTGTAGTCAAGTTTGCAGGGTAACTGAATTATTTATTCATCTATTTTCCAATTTTTCTGTGCTACCCACATACAACATGCTCATAATAGCAAAGCATGATTGAATAGAAAATGAAATAATTAAACAAGGTTCTCAACTCTAAACATAAAACCATAATCATCAAGGACAATACAGCTCATGTTTCTGTCCACCTATCCTCCAACAACTCAGCAAGCGAAGATCTTCACCTGTTTCTAGAATGCAAGTTAAAAAGGGGGGGGGGATTTTTTTTTTAACTTTAGAGAGAAGAGAATTTGAAAGAGCCAGTGCAGTCACCAAAAAACAAAATATCATTACATTACATAATCACATTAATCAGAAATAGGTCCCATTGAGTTAGTACAATTAATGGTCATTACAGTGTTCACAATTCAAATACATTTCTTAAACAGAATGACAACACAAGAAAAAGTAATAGGACCAAGATTATGCGGTATTATCTATTCCAATAACATAGGATTTTTTTAAAAAAAAATACCAGTGCTAATAAGCTAGCTATTAGGATATTATTACAACTATGTGAAAACAAAGCAGGAAACATCCCCAAAGAACTAAATATTATGTATGGGGGGTGGGGCGGGGGAGGAGAAGTAGAGAACAATAAATCCTTGAATGCAACATTAGGAATAGCCATTAAAATATTATTTTTTCCATCAATACCTTAAAATATCTTATATATATATGATATTTTGTTCTTTCAACACCACAATAATTACCTGAATAATACCATGACCTTGAGCAAACATATGTGTATTTTCCACCTTCACTGCTGTATTTTCTAATGCTCTTTTGACTGAGTGAACAGTATAATGTATATCATTAGCTTTGAGTCCTGTAATCAAAGGAAGAGTAAAAGAGATAAAACTATGTCATTAATACACTTCTCACAGTCAACAAAATGCAATTTGTTTTAAAAGAAGAGCAGCGTTCCATTTTACCTGAGAGTATTAAAGCAATGCCACCACAAGCATTAGGTGAAGACATGGATGTGCCATTCATGAGTTGTGTACCACGTAATGTCCAATTAGGGACAGAGGCAATAGCACCACCAGGTGCGCTGATACTCACTCCCAGTGCTCCATCAGTACTGAAATTAATACAGAAATATCAAAACAGCAAAAATCACATTTTTTCTAGGCTATCAAATAGTCCTCTTTTAGACAGTATCATAAAATATTCTTCTTTGTCTGTACTAACACATTCTTTTTAATAGAGGCTGGGTCTTAAATGCATTAAATTTAATTTATTCCTTAGTTGAGTATGTCTAACAAATTTATTTATAATTTATATCTACCAATTAGGAACTAATATAGATGTGCATATAATGATTTCAGGAGTTAGTCATCTATAAATATCCTAAAATTATATGAACAATTAACAATTATTGATCAAATGCATATATTTAACACAGTACTGCTCAACACTTACAAGTAGATGCATGTGCTTATTACTGGAAGACATCTAAATATAACTACACTGCTCTCTATTCTCTGGAATTATTTTTGCTCAAGCATTTCCTTGAAAAAATCAGTTAAGTTTATTATTGTATTCATGAACCTCTTAATAAATTATTTGAAATGGAGTGGAGGCATCGAGACAGTCCAACTCTGTAGTTGTGGGTTAAATTATGAAAGGTTAACATGCTATTATTATTTAATATTTAATTCACTCATGACTCCATCAGATGAATGCTTACGTCTCTTTTCTCAGTTTATTAACCTGCTTCTTTTAAGCTTGTGAAAGTTTCTCCATCAATTTGAAATTTATTTTTATTTATTAAATTTCCCCCATCTCATATTGAAACAACTCTGGGTGGCTTACAGCATTAAAACATTAAAATCCTAAAAGTCCAATATTTATAAAACAATAAAAGAGGAAATCACAATCAAAATAAAATTATAGTTAAAAGATGGGGAGGGAGGGAACAGGGGGAGGTGGGATTGCCTCTTAATTCGTCAATCACCTGCAGTATGATGCTCCCTCTTTGTGACCCCAAGCCACCTGGCAGAGCCAAGTTTTCAGGTTCCTGCAGAAGCTGAAAAGGGTGGGAGCCAACTTCATCTCAGGGAGTAAGATATTCCAAAGGGCCGGGGTCACAGCAGAGAAGGCCCTTCCCCTAGACCCTGCCAGCTGGAATTCCTTGACTAATGGGCCCCGCAGCATGCGTCCTCTGCCAGCAACAGTCAGTCCTCTGCCAGTCCCAGTGGGGTGAGGTGGCTCCTCAGGTAACTTAGACCCATGCCATGCAGGGCTGAAGCAGACTGATAGCCAGTGAAGCTCGCAGAGAAGAGGTGTATCATGAGTCACCCTAGGGACTCCAAGAACTGCCCTTGCTGCTGCATTCTGCACCAGTTGAAACTTCCAAATGCTTTTCAAGGGTAGCCTCATGCAGAGTGCATTGCAATAGTTTAGAAATGAGATTACCAGGGTTTGAATGACTGAGCACGATTCCCAATCCAGGAAAAGCCACAGGTGGTGCACCAGCTCTCCTAGCTGTGACTGCCACCTACTCTTTAAGTAGAAGTTGCAAGTCCAGGAGAACCCCCAAGCTGCAGACTGGGTCTGTCTGGGATAGTGCAACTAAGCTGCTTAATGTCCCAGATCTTGAAGTTCCAAAGCCATTCGGTCTTGCCAGGGCTCATTCGAAGCTTGTAGCTCCCCATGCAGGCTCCGACAGCCTATAGGCACCGCGAGAGGAGAATGGGACAACTTGCCACAGACAACTTGCTAGGGCCAACTTGCCACAGGACAACTCACCATGGCCAACTCGCTGTGGGACAATTTAACAATTCTATTTAATAATTTAAAATAAATAAAAAAATTATTTTAATTTTTGCCATTCACATTTCGTTCTGTCCCTCCTTTTGCGTCCTTTAATGATTCTATTCCACTTCTTTGATATTAGTGTAACTCTTGTCCTGCATGAGTTGTCCTGTGGTGATTTGGCCCTGACGAGTTGCCTAGCAACAAGTTGGCTACAATGTTGCAACGAATTATCATAGACCCCCCCCCATGAGAGAACAGCAACAGCATCATTTGGATCATGAGGAGTGGAGATATAAAGTTGAGTATCATCAGCATTCTGATACCTGAAAACCATTCCTAATTTAGTGTGCAGACATGCTTCACGTTAAGTGTTTTTGCAATCTTTTTCTATACTAGGATTTTTAACTATTTTTAGTAACATACATTTATACCCACTTCTTTTTTTAATATATACAGCTGTTATATCACAGAATATAAGTATCCCACTTTGAAACATTAAGAAAGCTGCAAGGTGAGAGAAATTAAGGCAGATTTACATTTTTTTTAAAAAAAACAAACCTTAAAACCTTTCTCTTCCTACTCATATTTACCTTGAAATAATTATAAAATGTATCTCAAATTCTTGAAAATCAGCTCCATTTTTCAGAAGTTAGAGTCTTTATGTTGGAAAGCTAAGCTGCACTTTCAAGTTATCTTTTGATATATTAAAATGTAATTTCTAAATGGATTATAGAAACACCAGGATTTAATTCATGAATTAGTTTATTACTTACCTTGGTCCTCGAGATGACCATGTATACTGATTTGCAGGTAATTTCTCTCGTAATGAGTACTCAGCAACCATCATATCAGGTGATACATAAGCACCAACACCTTTAGAATTAGTTGACATAAGTTCAAGTCTACCATTAGTTCTCTTTACCGATTTAAATTATGTTTATATTAAATTCTAACCATTGTTAAATTGGTAATGGTATTTTTTAAAATATTTTTTTTTAAAAATCTTCCAACATAGTAGCGTATTTATACTAGAAACTAGAAGTTTTTCAATTCTGTTTGATATTACTTCAGTCTCCACTCAAATGAATCATTCACTATTGAGATGTGTTTGAATATTAGTACCTGTTGGTTTAATATCTGAGCCTGACAATTTGGCTGCAAATGTTTCTTCTCCATTCAGGGGGACATCTTCAGTATGCTTTGATTTGTGTGTATCTGTCAGAACACTGGCCTTTAAATTGGTGTGGGTATGTTATGTGGATGACACCTTTGTGATAATCAAGCACAACCAGGTTGACCAAACCTACCAAAGAATCAACAACGTCTTCGTAGACATCTGATTTACAACAGAAACCGAGAATAACAACAAACTGCCATTCCTGGACATCCTTGTAACCAGAACCACCAATGGCTAACTTCTAACATCTGTGTACAGGAACACACACAGATCAAATCCTCAGGTTCCACAGAAACCACCCCAAATGCCACAAACAAAGCTGAGTCAGAACACTGTTCAGGAGAGTAGAATCCCATTGCAACACCAACGGAAGCCAGATCAGCAGAACAAAATCACTTACACATAGTTGAGAGAAATGGATACCCACAAAACCCCGGAGATCTCTACACACAACAATACATATACCCAAAGCAACACAACAATTACAACAGGAACAATGATCAGAGGAATCACAATTCCCTATGTATAGAATGTTTCAGAGATGACAGCAACACTACTACACTAACATGACCTCACAATAGCCCACAAACCAGCCTCAACTCTCAGACGGACCTTATCAAAACTTAAGGAGCAGACAGAAACAAACCAAAGATCCGACGTCATATACCAAATCCAGTGCAGCAACTGTGTAAAGAACTATATGGGTCAAACAGGAAGAAAACTATCTACCAGACTGCATGAACACTTCCTGGCTATCAAAAGATACGACCCACTATCCCTCATGTCCATCCACCAAGACTCAGAAGGACACATGTTTGATCTAATCGAGACCACAGTTGTAATCCAAGCAAAATCAAGGGGAAAAAGAGAATTCCTTAAAGCTTGGTTCACCACTAATAAGTCAATAAACACATTGACATTGAGCCTATCTACCAACCGCTGAGAATGAAGGAACTACTTCAACTGCAATTCCGAAGGCAGCATTTAAAATGAACAGGGACCTCACCACCCAGCAAAAATCACAACCCCCACAAGAAATCAGACCACATCCCGACAACAGCCAACCAACCCAAAAACCCGAAATCAGACCATGACTCAGAGGCAACCAAATGAACACACACAGACAATACTTACAAAACAAGGACCATGGCTCAGCAACAACAACCAGCCAATCAAACAGCGCAAAACCAGAGCATGACTCAGACACATCCGGACAAATAACACCCACACCAATTTAAAGGCCAGTGCTCTGACAGACAAGCACGAATCAAAGCGCACTGAAGATGTCCTCCCCTGAATGGAGACGAAATGTTTGCAGCCAAATCACAGAGAACAAACCAACAGCCCAATCATTCACTATATCAAAATGTACACAACACTTGCTTTACAAATTATTCAGAACCTATGCATGCACATAATAGTTGGATAAGATGCATAAATCTAATACATCCATTTTTGTATACTTATATATGATTGATTTCTTAAGATTTATATCTCATTTTTCCTCCAGGAAATAAAAGAGGCTGGCCCACATATTACCCTTCTTCCAGTTATTCTCAACAATAACCCCATGATATTATATGGGATGAAAAACAGTGTCATTTTTGAAAAATGGTTCAAGATAAAGTCAATCCCTACATGTTCTAAAACTTTAAATACAGTCTCGCTCATTCAATAATGTCCAATAAAGCTAAACGATTAAATTCATGCAAGTTAAAAATGCTTCATCAACATGTAATTGTAGATTTGGGGAACTTAAAAATGGATTAGAAAAAATCATGATGGATAAGGCAACGATTAGTCATTAACCAACATCTATGTGTTAATTTCCAGATCAGAATGAATAAACTCCAAAATACAGATACTGGAGAACAGAAAGCAAAAGTTACTATTGCATTTAAGCTACTTTTAGTTTCCCCATGTCATTTATCTTTGGCATTTATTATGCACAGATTTCTAATTAGGAAATGCTTTTTCTGATATGAGCTTTTTCACAAATCAGATTTAAATCTGTTTCAAGAAAAATCAGACAAGGCAGAGCTATATATGTAGAGAGACTAAGAAAACAACCTGTATGATTTTGTTATACAGAATTCTACTCAGTTTCAACTATAGCTTTAAAGCATGCCTCCAGTAGATGGGTAATAAATAAGTCTGGCTTTGTACTGTATATGTTCTGTGTATCACTATTCTGCCCTGTAGAATAACTAATTCTTTAAAAAAGATTAGATTAGAAAATAGACATGGGATATCTATATTATATTTTTGAGATCACAAAGCTCAGCTAAACAAAGAGGAATTGATGTTAATGAAAAACTGTAAAACATTCCCAATAATTCTGGAGACAAATAAAAAATAGTAAGTTCATATTGATCATTTTAGTCTACTTTCAGCCTTAATAAACATTTCAAAGCTCCTTTTAATTCTTAAGAAACGAATTTGATAATTAGTGTAATTGGTGGCACAGCAGTTAGAATGCAGGCTAACTCTGCCCACAGTATGGAGTTCAATTCTGATGGGCTCAAGGTTGACTCCAGCCTTCCATCCTTCCATCCTTCTTTCTATAAAAGAAGGACCCAGATTGTTGTGGGCAATGTGCTGACTCTGTAAACTGTTGAGAGAGGGCTGTAAATGGAATGGTATATAAGTCAAAATGGTATTACTAGTGCTATAATTGTAAATACTTGCCGATCACACTAGATGTTGTCCCCCCTGGGCATCCAACAGTAGACAAACAGGGACCATTGTTCCCAGCACTTGAAACATAAATTACATTGTGTTTCCATACTGCTTCATTAATAACTTCACACATTCTCCTAGAAGAGATACAAGACATCACAAACTGAGAAAGGGCTTTTTCACTTTTATTCTTTCTTCATTTATGACAGAGATACTGTAACTTTTATTGTATAGATTCCTACAAGCTGCATCTACTCATACTATCACCACGTTTGTGGACATCAATGTATTACCTTCCTCTTGGCACACAAAGCATCATAATCAGCAGTGTGGCATCGGAACATGTACAAAATGAATAAAGCTTCCCATGAAAAAGTGGAAAGGGGAATAGAATTTGCTCATTTGATCTACCACAACAATACTCTCCTATTCCCCATCAGAAATTTGTTCTGTTGAAATTCCTACTGTGGTATTGGCTCTCCACAGTCACCCCAACTGTATATGATTTCTAGGATGTGAACATAGAATGCTTCAGTAATTCGTGACATAACAGTTCTATTCTTGGTTAATTCATTATTTTAAATTAAATGAGCTTCCCACTGCTGGCAGAGAGCAAAGTAATACTCATAAATATATAATCTCCTTACCCAGCATTTGGCCAGTGAGTTGCCTCCCCATAACTGTAGTTGACAAGGTCACATTTATATTTTATTGTTTCTATCATCTGTCAAAGTAAAAAAAATGTTTAAGCTCAGCACTGCATAAACAATACCATTTATTTGTAGCTAATTGTTAATTTAATCAGAAGTAAAAAATGAATTTTTTAGAAATAGACCTCTTACATTTTGTATTATGTTTACAAAAACACAGTTTGAAGCTCTACCCATCATAAAAGCCAACTGATATTAAACAAAGTGGATTTGAAAAAAATAAAACTCAGTTCCTTCAAAATTCACTTCTAAAACATTTAATCTTGCAGATTGATGGTCATTCCTTAGTCTAGTTTCTATAAATTTCATTCCAACAGCAACTCTTTCAACTTAGTTTTTCACATTATCTGTTTTTTTTAATTGTGTTATTGCAGCTGCACTATTGACATTTCATCCTAGCATTATGAAAATATACCATGGGAGCTTTGCAAATAATTGGCAACTCTTCAAGAAGCACTCACTATCCAACACTGCCATTTTAGATTAAACTAAACTATGATACTAGCCTTTCCTATGTAATTCTTTTATTTTATCAAAATTAATAAAGTATTATCTTATCTTATCTTATTCAATAGTGAGAAAAGTAAGGTTCTATGTTGAGGCAAGAAAAAACGAATGCACTGGTACAGAATAGGTGGTACTGCTCAATAGTGGTAACTGAGAGAGGGATCTTAAAGTCCTAGTGGACAATCACTTAAATATGAGCCAGCCCAATGCGGTCCTAAGTTGCATTACCAAAGGAATACAATCAAGGTCATGTGAAGTGTTAGTACCACTTTATAATGACTTGGTAAGACCACATTTGGAATATTGCATCCAGCTTTGTTTGCCACAATATTAAAAAAAGATGTTGAGACTCTAGAAAGAGTGCAGAAGAGCAACGAAGATAATTAGGGGACTGAAGGCTAAAACATATGAAGAACTGGGTATGTCTAGTTTAATGAAAATAAGGATTAGGGGTGATCTGATAGCAGTGTTCCAATATTTGAGGGGCTGCCACAAAGAAGAGGGTGTCAACGTATTCTCCAAAGCATCTGAAGGCAGGACAAGAAGGAATGGAGGGAAACTAATCAAGGAGAGAACCAACTTAGAACTAAGGAGAAATTTCCTGACATTTAAAACAATTAATCAGTGGAAACGACTTGCATCCAGAAGCTGTGGGTGTTCCAATACTGGAGATTTTTAAGAAGAGATTGGATAACTATTTGTTTGAAATATTATAGGGTTTCTTGCCTGAGCAAGGGGTTGGAGTAGAAGACCTCAAAGCTCCCTTTCAACTTTGTTATTCTATTGTTATTCTTCATTTTTATTAAATAAAAATAATATGATTACATAATTGCAGTCTAACTAGAAAAAGGAAGACAAAAGAGTTATACCCACAAAATTTCCTACCAACTATGTATCCAACTCTCTTATCTCAGAGGCAAGATCCTGCAAGCTTCAGTCAGAAGGGCAAATCCTTCCTAACTGTCAAAATGGTATTGCTATGGCCTTGTCTTTTGAGGAATATGCATAAGTTTCATATGATTAAGCATGTTTAAATAACAAATTTACCCTGATCATTTTGACTTGAGAAAATCTGGCATGCCAGGATGAACTACTTGACCCTCCTATGCTTCACAACCATTCATTCTTTCCTAACATAGCTACTGTAGAAAGCTTTTCAGTTCACCGTTGTGTACATTTAGTGCCAACTTGGAAAGCATTCTAAGAAAGGCATTTTATTCATATCTCAAAAGAGACATAAAGGAAGCCCAAGAACATTTTAGAGTACTATTCAGGAAATATAAAGGCATGCTTTATGATTAGATTTTCTGTGCAATGATTTTGTCAATACTTACTGCTCTGATAAGACCAGTCCCGGTTTCCATAGTGCTTAATCTTGTATCACCAATCTTAATAGCAAGTATTTGTGCACCAGGGGCTATACCATTTCTATCTGGCTGGTCAGGAAAATACCCAGCAGCTATACTAGCAACATGTGTTCCGTGTGCACCTGAAAAAAAGTTGAATTGTTATGAAGAGACATCCATAATTTGCCACATTTCATACCTGTTTGCACAGTTTGCACCAATTGTGATTGTTAGTTCTGTTGTGCAATACATTTTAACACAAATTTGGAGAAAGATTAAGGTAAAATGAGTATTCTATAATCTGCCATTTTATACTCAGGATCACTGCTCTTTTTTCCTGATGGGAGGTCTCCAGGATGGTAGTAAGTGTGCATTAAAGGTGGTTATACACTCTTCCTCAGGAAACATCACTAAACCCAAAAATTCTGGCTAATCATTGATTATTCTCCAATCCTCCCATTCCCTGAGGATACATTGATTATGCTTATGGACAACCTCTGAAGAGACCAGAACAGGTGAGTGAGACCCTCCTAATATTATTTGATTTCTGATGATATCCTTTTCCATTGCCTCCAAAGGTTGGGCTAGAGAGGTTGGAACTTTGAGTGTTGTGGGATGCCTTACGGCTCTCTGTTCTCTCCCATATTTAATACCTCAATCAATATGGACCAAGTATCATCACAATGCAGATAAGACTCAATTTTACATCTGAACCTCAGGCCAGAATGTTGTTGCCAAAGTGTCATCCTGGAGCCTATTAGAATTTAGAAATTCTGAATTGTAGCAATTCAAAGGCCATCCAATTCCAAGAAGATTTTCATCTACAAATTTAAAAATTAGTTAATCCTTTTGAATTTTCAATATTTCTACATAAATATGACCTAAAATGTTATCTATTCTCCACAGAAGGCCTAGACCTATAGAAAAAGTGCTTGATTAAACAAAAGTGTCAAAACATTATATTTGTTGATTTATTGAGGAAATTATTCAAAGCTACATAATGAAAGCCAAATGGGTTGCTGAATGCCCAGTTATAGGAAGACATGTAAATGATTTTACCAAAAAGGTGCCATGCTTTGAATTACCACATCAGCAATGGACAATCCTGAAGAGGATTTGCACCTCACATGATTCCTACCGGGACTCTGTATAAATGGGGCATAGTATCCTCCCCTCAGTGTGACTGTGGGGGTCCCATGTCAAACTGTAGATCACATCGTAATCATCTATAAGCTGAGGGCATATACTGGTCCAATATTTTATTTTTTTAATTTAAACAATGCTGCATTTCAATGGTTAGATGGCCTAGCTAGACATTAATATTTGAACACAGATCTTTTTGACATTTATATCTTATTGGGTTCTACTAATTTAGTTGAAACGTTAATCTATATTGCTAGTCCATACTATGCCATATGCTAAATAAATAAGTGTATGGCAAAAGTGTGTGAACTTCTAGGATCAATTCATTTGAAAGTGAAATTATAGTCAAGTATCTCAATCAATAGGATGATAATGAGGTGAGAGTGTGGGAAGTTCTGTCTGTATTCACTATCTGATCTGCACAATACAGGTATGTGTCATGGCTCAAACAAAAGAACATTAGTAAGGGTCTTTGGAAGACAATTGTTTAGGCTCACCAGGATGGAAAAACTTACACAACTTTTCGCAAAGAGTTAGGGCTCCACCAGTTCACTGTCAGGCAGAGTCTGGACAAATGGGAGGCAATGCAACATCACTGCTATTCTCCTCGGGAGAGGCGGATAAATTAAGATGACATCATGAGCAAGGTAAGACTTTGGGCGTCTCAAAGAACCTTTTTCATTTTGGGATAAACCTAATTTGAAAACTGATTATATTTTTGGAGGAAGGAGCACACAGCAGACATTAGGGGGAAGGGGGCTAAAACATATGAACAACAGTTGCAGTAATTGAGTATGTCTAGTCTGGTGAAAAGAAGGACTAGAGACAACATGATAAAGTGTTCCAATATTTGAGGGGCTGCTACAAAGAAGAAGGGGTCAATCTATTTTCCAAAGCACCAGAAGGCAAGACAAGAAGGAACGGTTGGAAACCAACCAAGGAGAGAAACAACCTAAAACTAAGGAGAAACTTCCTGACAGTGAGAACAATAAACCAGTGGAATGGCTTGCCTTCAGAGGTTGTGGGTTCTCCATCACTGGAGGCTTTTAAAAAGAGACTGGACAGTCACTTGTCTGGAATGGTATAGGGTCTCCTGCTTGAGCAGGGGGTTGGAGTAGAAAACCTCCAAGGTCCCTTCCAACTTTATAATTCTGTTAATTTAAACATTATACAGTAATTTAGTGAACATTCATCTACTAATCTGTAAATCTGGGTTACAAAGTCTTTCCAATCTTGAACCAACATGGTTTTACTCTTTATGTTTGAACTCTATCTATCAATGAAAAGACTGATCAATCAAGGTTTAACGTTGACTTTTTAAAAACGGATCATTTATTCTAAATAGGATAATAGATTTTTGTACTTTTTTCTCTTTAACTTTTTTCTTATGTTGGTATTTTTCTTTAATTATCAGTTTATTTTTAAAAATGTTTTCTTTATAAATACAATTACATAATGCTCATAATTATGTAATATATAAAACATTCTATTACATACATATTACATTCTCTTATGCAAGATTTTATGTAACCCAAGCAATTTGTAATTAAACTAATGTTTTCAATCTTCTTACTTAGTCTATGATTAAAACATTACTGTACTGAAAGTTCATAACTATGTTTTGCTATTATCAAATATATATTTACTTTTAAATTTTAAGACAACAGTTTTCTTTCAGATTAAGACAAACTATATATTTAGTACATATATTTCAAAATTTTGTAGTCTTACCTCCACTTGTCACAATTGAAAGCAAATTGCCTTCATCATAAATATTGACAGAGTAATTTAACATTTCTGATGTTCCAAAAGATCCATATTCTTGACCTTCTCTGTAGTTCCGTAGAACGGTACAATTAGAAAGGTCACCAGTTTCATTGGAATCTAAGCAAGCTCTGTGGAAAAGGTGCATAAAGACAGATTGAGTCTCAGTTCTTCCCTCTTATGAAATTGTATGTTTTTCTCAAATGCTGTATGCCATTCAGACACAATAACAATTTTCATATTTGTTTACTAATGTGATCCTGCTCACGATTTTAAGTCTCATGATCAGCTGCACAGACTAAATTCAAGATTGATTTTAGCTGTGCAAATAAAAACTGCTACTTTAAAATATAAGTATACTCCCAATCTGTAACAATCCTCATACAATTACACTCAGATTTAAATTAGCAAATATACTAAATTAAATTTTAGATTTTATTTTTCCTCAATTGCTTTCAAGGTAGAATAATTTCATTGGGCATCTTTATTATTACTATCATTATTACTATGTACCAGGTCATTAGAACATTATCTAGACTAAGATATAATTTACTGACAACCTACAGCAGTAATAGAATATACTAATTTTAATGAGAGTGTATAGTTCAGTGAGATCCTCAAAGTAAACAAAATCTATATGATGCCTATGTTACCAGTTTATGATACCTACTGAATATGACATACTTAACCCAATCCAAAAGAAAAAAACTACTAGCCCACTCTGTAGTGAATGATTAAATTAATCTTAATCCTAGCCCTAATTCTATATGGATTCAGATAAGAATCAAGTACAGTGAATAATTAACAGAACCTTAGGCTTCATTGTACTTTATAAGTAAACCCTATTTGTACATTACAAAATAAAAAAAAGGCTTAATAATGTTTTAAATTTTTTGTGGAGTTCTAAAAAACAGCGCCATAAATGCAGAAAAAAGTCTTTTTTAAGTAAGAGAATGCTTTGCTTACTTTTCTAAAAGATTTTTTTTAACTGAGTTTTTTTTGAAATCACTCTCCTGAATTCAGGAAGAACAAACGTTTAAAACCATAGTTTTACTTTTTCTAAAAATTAAAACAGTAATTTGGCAAATTTTAACAAGAAAAAATGAACACAAACAAACTTGCAAAATTTAACAACTGATAATACTATAAGGAGGGTGCAGCAACCATTTCTGTGTCTTGTGGTAACAATCCAAAGGCACTATTATTATTATTATTATTACACAACAGAGTTGGAAGGGACTTTGGCGGTCTTCTAGTCCAACAGTAAAGGGAAAGTTACACCACACTTACTTTTCCTTTTTTTTTCACAGTTAAAGCCTAATTAAAAATGAATTGGTATTTTAATATAAAGAAAAAAATTTACCTCCAAGTTTCACCATCGTGCCACACCAAGCAGTCATAAACAGGGCCAGGATCATTATATTTTTTCTCAAAAGAGTTTAGCAATTCCACTTGACTCTGAAGCTCTTCCTTCATTAATTTGTTTTCCTGGAAAATAAAGCGTCTCATGAAAAAGTATGCTAAAATAGACACACACCCCCCACAGAGAAAAAAGAAGATATGCTCCTCTCTCATTGCAATAAAAATTATAGCGTAGCGTTATACTGCACCCAGTAGCAGTTCATCCATTACTTATCTGCATCAATTGGAATGCTCATTTGAATCTTCATCCCTGTTGCCTGAAACTATCCGCTCATTAACAGCAAGTTTATAGCTTGCTGTTTTATAGCTACTGGATCCAGTTAAGATATATACGATATTTATTGTTATGCCACATACACTATGTGCCTTATGCTTTTGCCTAAACTTGTCTTTTTTATGGTTATTAAGGAAACATTGAAACAGATATTTTATGTACTCAGATACAAGGAACTCATGTTTGAAGTATTTTCTTTCAATATTTTACTGTATATTACTTGCAGCTGCATTGCAATTGTTAAATTCATATTTCTTTCTTTCTCCTTTACAGATCTTATAGGCTGCTGTAATCAATCAAATCTGAGTGGTACTGTATAAAATTCCCTAAATCCATTATCTGGATTAAAAACAGATTAATTAAGATTAAAATTAATTGTTAACTTGTAAAACATTCATATAAAAACAGGTATTAACTTTCCAGACTAAAACAAAACTGACTTGTCATTTGGAAAGATAATCCCAGCAGCCTTGGCCCCAAGGCTTGATGAAATAACTAATTTTTCAGACTTTCTAAAGGCCGGAAGGAGGAGGCAAATTAAGCAGTGATATAAGATTTTGTCCCTTCTTCTCACCTATTTTATTTTGGGTGATGTCACTTTTTAATTACAACCCTGGGGAAAGGGGCTGTCTTTTTTATTAATCTGTAAGTAATCCTAGAAGCTTTTTTTTTAATTGTGGAAAAAGATATAAATGCTTTGAATAATTTTTAAAGGAGTATTACCCTACAGCAGGGGTGTCAAACTGCCGGCCCATGGGCTGAATGCATCATAGCGAAACCACACCCACCCCATTGCTGGCAATGGCAAAAAAGTTGCAATACATTGCAACATGTCATGTGACATTGCAAGTTTGACATCCCTGCCCTACAGGTATTGAAAGACCTTGGAATCTGAGCCTAGTTACAGCCTGACTTTAAGAGAATAAGTTCTGTAATTATAACTCTAGAGAAAACAATTAAACTTAAATATTTCATGTGCCTACAATCTTAAGCTATTAAAACTCCAAAGCAGAGCCATCTAGGTGATCATTATACAATAAAAGGCAAGGCAATACAAGGCAATTCCAAATGTTCAATGGCATTGAGAAATTTAACCTGAATATCCCTTCAAACGAAAATGTAATAAATAATTTTAAAGTGTAAGTAACTTAAGGAAAACATTCATAACATGAAACCAACCTTCAGACTGTTTTAGACAAATTGCCATTTGTGATTATGTTACGCAGAAGTAATCTTCCATTTGTGGGTCTTACTAGTATTTTGCAACTATTATAACCATTTACGCTTTTTCTTCTAAAATAGATACTAATATACAAACCTGTGATGGAGAAGTTTGAGCAGCTTCAAATTCTTCTTGTTTCCTACAGGCTTCTGCTAGTGCTAATCTGTGGACAGGATCCCAAAGTTTTTCCTTGCGTTCTTTCTGAAATAAACAAAAATAACAAATTTTTTAAAAATATCAACACTCCGTACTATTTTTTTTAGCACAATGAATTCAATATCTTATGTAAACTTTGAAATGGATCAATTGTCTTAATCTTGCTTTTTATATGCATTTTTCAATATTATAACACTTTATCAATACAGACAAGTAGAAATAAACTCCCAGAATGCTTAAAATGCTGTTGCAAGGATAGTGATAAAAAGAGGTTTCAGTGTTTTCTCTTAATTCAAAGGAATAAGAGTAAACTCAAACACATCAAACAACAGTTATTAGTATAAGTACTCCTTGCTTACTGAACATTCGGTTCAGAAACCATTCAAAATTCTGAACATCTGGGCTGAACATCTGTGTCCAAAGTTATGGTTGTTGCAGTGTCCTCACGGTCATGTGATTGTGATCTGGATACCGTAAATGCCGGCGTATAAGGCGATTTCCGCGAGCGCTGAAATCGGCGCCAAAGACGGGGGTCGTCTTATACGCCGAGTCGTCTTATACGCCGGAAATACTGGTAGTTTCCGGCGTATAAGACGACGTTCTAGGAATGCGGGCCGGCTATAAAGACGGGGGTCGTCTTATACGCTGGGTCGCCTTGTACGCCGGCATTTACGGTACTTGGAAAACCCATTCGCCCCTACGAATGGTTGCCAAGTGCCCCATGATCATGTGATTATCATTTGAAATTTTCCTAGGCACCTTCCCCAGAAGGGGCCTTGCTGAAAAAGGCCTGTCCTGAAATCCAAGAAGGATTTTGGCACAGAGTGTTTGCAGCATCAGAAACGAGTCCCCTTCTTGTCTCTGGGACTGGCTGCAAAGGCCTCATGCTGCAAAAGCACTCCATACCCAAATCCTGCTTGGATTTCAGGACAGACCTTTTTCAGCCAGTCTGTGGAGGATTCTGGTCCCACGCAGGGCAGAGTCCTTCTGGCAGGCAGCTCTTTGAGAGTGAAAGGGCTGCCCAGCTGAGCATTTCAGCCCCAGATGGGAAGAGTCCCTTCAGCGGGCGGCTGTTTTGCTCCATCTCTTTAACAAATTGGAAGATCACTTAATAACCACACTGAGAACAGTGGAATTGTGCTCATTGGACGAAACAGTCACATTGTATCTTCCTTAATGACTGCTTCATTCAACGACTAAAAATTCTGGTCTCGATTGAGGCTGTGAGTCAAGGGTTTCTTCTGATAATGAAAGGAAAAAAGATCATCAACTACCTTTACAGTAACTTTACTTCAGAACACTTCTCACATGCTCTTGCTGATAATGCAAGGAGTCACAATATTATGTTTAAAATTCTCCTTGCAGCAGCTATGCAATATTGCATAATCAGCTGGTCAATGTACAGACATGAAAAGATGCTGATGTAGGGAGGGAAATGTAAATTAGATTTTATTCTTTTTTTATTCCTTTTGAAAAGACCAACTGAAGTATGATTCTCTAAAGGAAGTGAAATACTCCTGAAGAACCCAGGCTCTCCAATATTAGCAAAACTTTGATGGAAAGCCACAGCCTTTTTTCCAGGTTCTATAACAGAAGTAGAAAATCACAGTTTACAAAATCTCATTTAAGAAAAAAAAAAGTAAAATGATCCCTTCTATTTATTTACTAATTATTTCTGTGTTGAAAATAACTGTAATGTTTAGTTATTGCTTAAATAAGAAACTATGGCTTGTATGAGAAATCTTGGGGATGGGAAAAAATAGTTTGCCAGAGGTGAAGAATAATAAAGTATATCAGAATTAGAATAGCAATAGCACTTAGATTTATAGAATTAGAAAGTCACAATAACCTAAATGTATTTCTTTCTTTTTTATGGTTCAAAATTACTTCAAATACAATACAGGTTAGGATAAAGGGTATAAAATAATACCTGTATTCTCTCTTTAAGAGCTTTAGGATAGAAATCATAACCATTTTTTAAGCCAATGTGATATTTTCCTGAAGGATTTATCCAGTTAGTTGGTATCTAAAGAAAGGAAAGAAAAGAGAAACATAAATTGCATTTGCTTTGTACACTTCAAGCAATCATTGATATTATTTATAATAGAACTATTAACCTTAGCTACAGTTGATTTCTATGGATATATACTCACAAGTTAACATCACTACATTCAACATTTGTTTGCTCACCCTTAGAAGGCATGCATAAATTGCAGAAATCCGTAGCACTAAGTTTTCAGTCTACATACAAAGTGATATTTGAGTTGTTTTCTTCTTTCTGGTATGTTCTGCTTGTAAACAACTGCACTATTATGTAAGCTCTTCACATAAAAGCTCTACAATATCAAACCTATGGTTGACTGGATGAAAAAGAAAAAAATGTAACTTATGTAAGATAAAAACTGCATTATGTATTTTTTTTTTGTACTTGCTTGGACTTACTAACAAAAAGTTCCTCTTGGAATGTAGCCTGTTCACAAGTACTCCTCCCCACCATAACCCTCTCCCCTCCTGGGGTGCTTTGGGTGGGGCCTCGCCTGCCTCTACTCAGCCAAGGTGTTCCATCTGCCCCACACAACCATCGTTCTTGACAAGAGGCTCATAGTACACTGTAAAAGAATCCCATTCCTGTCTTTTCCCACCTTCAGGGATCTTTTAGGTTGGCGTTGCAGACAGGTTAGACACTATTGGCTAGAGTTTGTAACTACAAAGTCTGTAAATAGAGGACTGTATGCACTATATATGGCTCAAGCTGCAGATAACAATCTTGGTGTACTATGTTGAGAAAAACTTTCAATTAAATTATAAATAAGTACTATGAAATGCTTTTCTTTGAAAGGTAATAACAGACCCTTTGGAAAACATGAGGGCGTAGCTTTCTGCAACTCTTTAAACTAATTTTTGTGAATTTTCAAGAAAAGGTATATATTTTCTTAAAGGTCTTGCAGAGAGGTGCTATGAATGCACCCTCACAGGTTCCAAAGCACTTTTTTATCCCCAGATCCAAAGCATTGCACAGCCTATTACAAATAAACATAAGGCTATAAAACATCAGATGACTGTAAATATATTACTATCAAACATATATTTAATATACAAATATTTGTGGTAATTTTTTTTTTAAATCCTTTGCTCTTAGACATGATGACAAGTAAAGATAAATATGAATGCAACTATAGACTCAAGATAATTTATCATAACAAGTCATCTTAATGCATATACAGTTGAACAATAACTTAAGTTTTGTTTCAAAGGAGGACATCACAATTTAATGCCAAATACTGTTACCTTTAAAATTCTTCCTGAAAGACCAGTAATTTCTCCATCTTTTGGTTCTGTAACAGTTGAAGTATTTACATCCCCACTGCCAGTTGTATCAATTATGTCAACTATTTTGGGTTTTCCATCAGTTGTGATCTAAAAATAATAAAATATAATCCATGAATATTCTATTTTATAAAATAAATAAAACTGCTACATGAGTTGGAATCATGCTATCTGTCTGTTATATCAGACACAACCTAAATTTATTTGATTACATGTAGTTCAGCCTTTTCTAAAGGCAAGCAGATTCACAACATAAACAATATCCATAACGTTCAAATTAAAAGCACAAATTAAAACAGCAAGATAAACACATATTCAACAGAAGCAAAATCCACAATTCAGTGAGAATTACATTTAATTAGCCTGTGCTAATTCATCAGGGTATGAAGAGTTTTAAAAAAGAGAGACTAAGAACAAACAGGGACATTCAGATCATACTAGTTATAGTCATATGAGGTTCTTGCTTAATGAACCACAGAATCCTTGCTTAATGACAGCAATCAGGACGGCCTGAATTGCTGTTGCTAAGTGATGCTGTCATGTGACATTGCACTTTACAACAATGTCACTTAGTAATAGCAATTTTGGCCCCAATTGCCATCATCACCTGAGGACTACCTGTATTTAATTTATTCCCATCCAAATCTTTCTGAAAAAGGTCTTTATTAATTCATAAACCGTTGTGGGATTATGAGACTCTCACAACAGAAAATCCCAAAATTTTGATACAACTATTAAGGCAATCCTCTCCAATCATGGCAATGTTAGCCATTTAAAACAAATTGTATTTATGATGGCCATAATACATGCATATTAGACAGTCTGAAACGTAAACATAATAAAAGATAATAAAAGATAAATAAGCATCCTATAAAGAGTGTGGGAGGAATAGGAATTCAATTACATAAAAGGAAGCAGATAAATTAGATACTGTCACAAAGAAGACAGTACGAAAATCTACTGGAAGGATATGACAAAGCAGAGGCAGATCTTTATTGGCCAGGATAAAACAATGATGCAAAATTCATTTTACAAGCAGCTTTAACATCAAAGGAAAATAGCAACTGTCTTAATTCAAAACTAAATAATATAATTGCTTGTATGTCAAACTTAATACAACCAATTATTTAAGTGTTGTTTTTATTACAACAATCTGTATGCTGACTACCATTGGACTCTAATCACACGTAACAAGAGGCAGACTAAGGCAAAAGCAGAGTTAACCAAACTCAGCCTTAAGTAATGGACTAGATTTAAAGTTTTAATTTTTAGAATGGCAACAATTAAAGGTGAGGATTTTTTGTGTGCCTTCAAGTTTGATACATGGACAACCTTGTTTAATTGTCTTGGTAATATTTTTAAGTGGGTTGTCATTGCCTTCTTCCTACTGTTGAGACAGAGTGACTGGCACGAAGTCTGTAATAATCCAACTAGTTTCCATGACTAAGGTACAACCAGAACCCAGATTTTCTAACTTCCAGTTATCATACCACTGGATCTAACTCACCCTCAAAGAACTTTTACTTCCTATTTTTTCAACAAAATTTACATTGTAAATTCATTTGCATAATGATTGTACTTTCCAAAAGATAAGATAGTCATATCTATATCTCGGATATCACACTAAAGAATTTTTTAAAAAATCAATGAAAGGAAATATGACTTTTTAAGTGGAAAAGGCTTTTTACTGAAAATAAAAGAAACCAATATGAATCAAGTTGCTTCCTGTACTTAACAGAGGAAAAGGCTGCAACCTGACAACACAAGAATTTTAAAACAACTATAGCAGTGATGGCGAATCTTTTAGAGATCTACTGCCCAAAAAACCCTAACCTTGCTCCGCCCCCGCCCGCTCCGCCCCAATCCCCGGCCAACCCCGCCCTGCTTACAGGGCCACCCACCACCTCCACGGCCCGCTGATCTCCCAGGCGTCCCAGCAGCGCCATGGCAGCCACGCTCTCTGCCCGTACACCATAGCATCAACTGCGCGCGATGGGGCACAAGGGCAGAGTCTTGTCCCTGCTGCCCGGCTGCAATGTCTTTGCCTGCGCTGCTCCACACAGGCCATGCTCGGGGCTCTCCTCCTGGTGAGGAGGGGGCTGCAGGGGGAGGTGGGATTGGGGCGACGGCACAAGTGCCCACAGAGAGGGCTCTGAGTGCCGCCTCTGGCACGTGTGCCATAGGTTCAGTACCCACTGAACTATAGCAAGATAACATGTTCATAATTTATACTCCTTCAACTTCCTGCTAATTATGAATTGAAACATTCCCATACAATTAAATTCCAGTTATTTAATCACTGTTAAATATATCAAACAGGGTAAACACAATTATAGTTACAGAATATTGCACCATCTGTGGCATGACAAAACTAGTTTTGGCTTTTTTCTCCTCCCACCATGAGGAGTTAATGACAGTACGTACGTAAAACATTTAATAATATACCTGACTGTTGTTTTTTCCCTGAAATTTGACATCCTTCAATATTCACAATCCCATTTGCAACTTCAGGCAGTTTTAAGAGGACCACATATATTTCTTAATTATATTTTGTACAGATGAAGCAACTTCATTCAATAACACAGTATTTTATATATAATGGATAGTTTTAAAGAGTTCAGTATAACTTATAATAACAATCATGCTAACTTATAAAGATGACTGCAACATTTTTAATACTTCATTTACAACTTCATTTCTCTTTACTTAAATACAATGCATATAACATCCACTGCATAGGATACCAAGTTAGGAAACTCAAACCACAAACATTAAGGCTGAGCAAAGCTTTTGAAAGTTTCAAAGCCCCTCTTTGAGACACTGAAGCAGCCTCAGTTTTTGCCAAGGGTTATACAGATGTTTATGTACAAAGGAAACTTCCACTGGGACCATTGGTGAAATGAATTATGTGGGAATATATACAAGCCTTACAAAAATGTAACTACTTTAACATTTGAGAGACATATGCAATTAGGGGAGTGGTTCTCAACCTTTGGGTCGCGACCCCATTTGGGGTCGAATGACCATTTTATGGGGGTCGCCAAACGCAATCCGCCATTTTTTCCCTCAGGGGGCGCCGCCGCGCATGCGCGCCACGCATGGGGGCGCTGCCGCGTATGCGCGCTGCGCATGGGGGCGCCGCCGTGCATGCACAACGCGTCCTTATGATTGGGGTCGCCGTATAAAAAGGTTGAGAACCACTGAATTAGGGCTTCCCTTTCAAATCCTTTATACAGTTTTACAAAATATACCTTTTAAAGTATAACTGAATTCTTATAATCTACTATATATTTAATTTAAAAATATTTTCATATTAGGTTTGTAGGAAGTAAGTCTTATCCTTCGTGTCATCATTGGTCTTGGGTGGAAGACTACTAAGGAATCCTAAAATTACACAGTAAAGTAGGAAGTTTGAAAAAAAAAAACCCTAGATTATTTCTAGTGCTGTCAAAAATTACATGGATGTATGTCTACAGAGATTGAGAGCTTCTTCAGTTCTAGCTGAATGATTGGGGAATGGAAGGATTTATATTCTTTGCATTTCATCTGATCATTAGTACTCTGAGTTCCATTCAGTTAGAATTGAAGTTTCTTGGATGAGAAGTGAAATGTTTTCAAGGGGAAAAAAAAAAAAAACAAGGAAGTTCAGTTGTCTTTTGGAAAAGCATCTTGGGACTACAGGTAGTCCTCAACTTACAATAACAATGGAGCCCCAAATTTCTGTTGCTAAGGGAGTCATTTGTTAAACGAGTTTTGCTCCACTTTATGACTTTTCTTATTATCACAGTTGTTAAGTGAATCACTGCAGTTGTTAATAACATGGTTGTTAATTGAACCTGGCTTGCTCATTGACTTTGCTTATCAGAAGTTCACAAAATGTCATCATATGATCCCAGGAAACTGCAACCATCATAAATAAGAACCCGTTGCCAAGCATCCAAATTTTGATCATGTGACCATAGGGATGCTACAACAGTCGTAACTGTGAGAAACGGTCATAAGTCACTTTTTTCAGTGCCATTCTAACTTTGAATGGTCACTAAACGAACTGTTGTAAGTTGAGGACTACCTGTGCATGGATATACATTTAGCCATCTGACTTTAAGCTGCCTTGAGATTATTTTATTTTATGAGCCAAGGTGGCACAGCAGTTAGAGTGAAGTACTGCAGGCCACTTTAGCTGACTGTGTTCAGCAGGTCAGCGGTTCAAATCTCACCGGCTCAAGGTTGACTCAGCCTTCCATCCTTCCGAGGTAGGTAAAATGAGGACCCAGATTATTGGGGGCAATGTAAATATATATACATTGCTTACTGGTGTACACCGCTTAGAGAGTGCTTGCACTTAAAGCGGTATATAAGTCTCATAAATAAATAAATAAAATAAATAAATAAATTTTTATTTTACCTGCTTCAAAGCTACCATATACAGAGAATATAAGTTTATTTGTTTGCCATCTTGCCTTCTGCTGCTTTAATTTCTTAAGGGTAAATTTTAAAGAAGTCTTTAGAGTTAGATGCCATAAATAATAATAATAAAATAATCCCATCATTTTAAAGTTGCCTGATCCAAAATCACAAGAAGTGAAAAAAAGATATGAATTAGGTTGTGTCTCTCTTATCCCAATAAGCAATTCCCTTTTGAATTAAAACTTTCTCCTTGAGCATCTCCTACAGCAGCTGTTCTCAACCTGTGGGTCGCGACCCCATTTGACGGGGGTCGCCAAACAACGCGATCCGCCATTTTTTTCGTCAGCTGGAGCAGGGGGCACTGCCGCGCATGCGCGCCGCCTGCTTATGACTGGGGTCGCTGTATAAAAAGGTTGAGAACCACTGTCCTATAGGAAGCAGTCCCTTAATCCCTTTCCCCAAGGGCGCCTGACACATTTTACACCAAGAAGGACACTCAGCTTTCCTTGTATCTTCTCCATGCCTATTATCAAGCTTTTCCACGTGCTGAACTACAAAGCCTGATACTGGGCGGTTTGGCAACTGAACAGCAACAGTCGGAGGAAATGCTGTGAAAAATAAATCTCTCCTACAGTGTTCAATCCAAAGTATAAAGTACTGGTAGTCCTCGACTTACAACAGTTCACTTAGTGACCGTTTGAAGTTACAAGGGCACTGAAAAAGTGACTTATGACTGTTTTTTACACTTATGACCGTTGCAACATCCCCATGGTCACATGATTTACATTCAGAAGCTTGACAAATGACTCACATTTATGTAGTGTCCCGGGGTCATGCAATCAACTTTTTGTGACCTTCTGACAAGCAAAGTCAACTGGGAAGCTGGATTCATTTAACAACTGTGTTATTAATTTAACGGCAGTGATTCATTGAACAAATGTGTCAAGAAAAATCGTAAAATGGGGCAACTCACTGAACAAATGTCTCACTTAGCAACATAAATTTTGGGCTCAACTGAGGTCGTAAGTTGAGGACTACCTATAGCGGGAAGAAGAGAGACAAAGAGATGAAAAAAAAAATACAGTTTAAGGCTAGGGAGGCCTCCATTGGCATCTCACCTGCATGCCCGGCGCGCCGGGATCCACACCCGTGTCTAAAATGGCCAAGAGAACTCCCCGTCCATCATATTCCGGGTACCGGGAAAGGAAGGAGGTAGCTCCGGTTTCCTTCTTGGGCAGAAGCCCTTGGAACGGGAACTGCTCGTCTCCAGCCGACGCCGCCATGTTGAAAACAGGGGAAAGGGAAGGAGAGGTGAAAGGAAACCAGACACGCACACGACACGGAAAGACAGAAGGAGCCGCGCAGCCCGAGGTGACGTAACGGCTCTTAGAAAGAAACGTTCCCGAAGGAAGGAAAAGGGCGCAGGCTTCTTTTCCCTCCGGACGCATGCGCCGCCGTTCCAGCCAATAGCAACAATAAGCACAGCCCGGTGGGTGTGCTACGTCAAGAGCGCTCTCAGCCTGCGAGGGAGATTTGATCGTGGCCGGCTGCTTAGCAAGGCTGAACAACCTCTCAAATTACGTCGCGGCTCGCTCTTGCGTAGACCAATGAGAAAGGGAAAGGCTTTCTTAAAGGGGCCAGCAGTTTAATAATCCTTGGGCTAACCGCCTCTCTTCCCGCCTTTCCTGCTTTCGTGGCTTCCAGTATCGCTGTAGAGTAGACTCACAGCGCTCGGCTTCATCTTATTTCAAACAACGCGAGATCTTAATGCTGTTTGTTCGCTGGTGGGATGGGGATGGTGGTTGCTTTGATGGTTTAGAGAAGGACGTTGAATGCCCGGAGTGTGCACTTGAAAAGGACCGTGATCACGGAGACCCAGCTCCAAGACGTGGACATTCACTGGGCGCCGCTGAGCTAGCCTTACGCTCCTTTTTATTCCAGCCTACCCACGACTTGTGGTAAAAATGAAGGAGCCCTTTCAGTTTTAGTAGAAAACGTCGAATATACAGGGTAATCCTCAATTTGCGACCACAATTGAGCCCAAAATTTAAGTGAGATATTTGTTAAGTGAGTTTTGCCCTGTTTTACGACTTTTCTTGCCACAGTTGTTAAGTGAATCACTGCAGTTGTTAAATTAGTGACACAGTTGTTAAGTGAATCCGGCTTCCCCATTGACTTTGCTTGTCAGAAGGTCACAAAAGGGGATCACATGACCCTGGGACACTGCAACCATCATAAATATGAACCAATTGCCAAGCATTGGAATTTTGATCTCACGATCTTGGGGATGCTGCAATGGTTGTAAGTGTGGAAAACAGTCGTAAGTCACTTTTTTCAGTGCTGTAACTTTGAATGATCACTAAATGAACTTGTAAATCGAGGACTACCTGTAAAATTAATGGTTCAATTATAAATTGGATAGCTTGTAATTTTGGCTATCTGGGCTTTACTAAGCAAAGTTAGTATGATACTGAAAAAATGCTTAGGCTGGATCCCATTACATTTGAATCAAGCTGGTCACATAGGCTGGTGAAATGTGAGGACCCCTTAAAATGGCATAAAATAAAATCTATTTTACAGATCCTAGTCAAGCAGGTGGCAGCTGAGAGTGGACTGAAACTCCTCAAGATGAACCAGGTGACAAGATTCCTGTCAAAATACACCTGAGAAATATTCTGACCCTGGTAAAAAGTTCCTCATCGAGAATGAAGATAAGCAGCTCAAGTATAGACAAGGGCCAGGTTCTGTTCTTTTCATAGTCTTGTCTTAAGAAAGCATCTGCATCCTTAGTTTTAATGCAGAGAGTTTTCAAATTGTCAGCATTACACATTCAGTGAGTAATCTAAAGAACCAATAATCAATAGTAGGCATTGATTAGACTGTCGGACCACAGAAATAGAACTAGTTATCACCGTTAGCTCACAGCTCAAACTGCTCAAATGCATAATTAAGCTATTGTACAGCCAATGACAATGCATTTTCTACGACATTGAGGTGAATGTGAGAATAAACCCTTGGGTGCATGCAGCCACCCAACCTGAAGCAGATTCTCAAAAGCATCAGTAAATAACAGGACAATGATGTCAGCATGAGAAACAAATCTGCAACCAACTCAAAATGTCTGGTTTGCTCCTACATTTACACCATTCTTCCTAAGCTTGCCTTGAGTTGTCTGCTTTACTTTTTGTTTCCTGTTTCACTTTCCACACCTTTAGAGCAGTGGTTCTCAACCTGTGGGTCGGGACCCCATTTGGGGTCGAATGACCATTTCACGGGGATCGCCAAACCATGCTGTCCGCCATTTTTTTCCCTTTTCCCTAGCTGTCCTACTCCTTCTTATTGGTGGCCACACCCACTTGGGGGTCACCACAACATGGGGAACTGTATTATGGGGTCACGGCATTAGAAAGGTTAAGAACCACTGCTTTAGAGGATTCTGTTTCTGCACTAGTTTATGAATTAATTTTACCACTCATACAAAACACAATTTGCATATATTTTAGAATTCATATCTCTCAATAGATAACATTCTACTGAGCACTGTCCTCTAATATTTTTGTTATATATTTTGTTCATCTTTCAGTTGAACAGCTAATATTCTCTTGGAGTTAATCTCTTTTGGAGCCATTACTTCAATTTGTTCATTTCTTTTTAAAACTCTTCATCTCTGTAATTCTTTTATTGGGGATTCTGCTCATTTCATTCATAAACTTGATCTTTGCACATTGGAAAAACAGATAAATTAGCTACATTTAATTAATATTCTTTGTATACTAGAGTACCATGATATAAAGCCCTGAAGTGATCATTTACATTTTGAAAGCATCAACATCTTCCTACTCTTTTTTCTTTTTTGCAATCATTAGTTGAAATAAATTTATTTATTTATTTATTGCCTATAATTTTACCTCCTCCCTGCATTCCATCTTAGGTAGAGTATAAAATAGAGTAAATACAACACCAATGGCAATACAGTGTAAAACAATAAAATAATACTATCCATACAATTGATACAAATATTAAATAAAGATAGCTTTGTAAAATCAGAGCAGGTTCTCTAGAAAAACTCTGTCTTTAAAAGTTTTCAAATTTTGATCATGTGACTCTGGAGATGCTGCAATGGTTATAAGTATGAAAAACAGTCATGAATCACTTTTTTTCCAGTGCTGTTGTTAACTTCAAACAGTCAATAGTTGTAAGTCAAGGCCTGCCTATATCTAAATGTTACTGGTAACATCACAAGCAAGCATGCAGAGTAACTTGTTTAATCCATCCTGAGATTGGAAGAGATACGCCTTACAAGGTTTTATCACATGTAGGATGATTAATATAATTTATACACATAGGTAAAACCAGAGCTCATAAACATTTAGATCAGGGGTGTCAAATTGTGTCATACGGAAGCCCCGCCTGCCCCATTGACGGCAATGCAAAAAAAGTCGCGATAGGTCATGACACGTCATGTGACATGGCGAGTTTGACACCCGTGACTTAGATGGTATAGGCAAGTCAGGCAGTAAGAGCTCTTTTAGTCAATCATTTGGAAAACAGATGTCAGATTTCTGAGCTACAGTTTTGTGCTACAAAACTAAATACAAACACTTAATAAGCAAATATATCCTGTCATTCAAGGATACAATCTCCGATAGGACTAAAAGGAATACCTACCATCAGTCTGATTCCTAAAGATACTTTCTTACCCTGCCATTTTTCTTCCTCCTCTCTCCATAGCATTCCCTGCAATTATCTTTCCTCCACTGTATAATTTTGTTCATCCGGATGTATTTTTTTTTTCATTTAAAAATAGAACACCATTTTTGAGCAATAACCCTTATCCTTTGTATATTAAGAAATGTATATCCTTTGAAGTTACTTTTTAAAATATTTTTGTCTTAGTAACTTTAAGAAACAGTGAAAAGAGTGCAAAGTAGTAGAAGAAAAGAATTTAAAAAAACTTTTAAGAAAAAGAATGTAAACGTGCAGCCTTTTTCTGACTTTACCTCCTAGGCTTGTACAGTCAAAATTTCTGTTATTCAGCTGTTTCAGAGCACTTCAAATGCCATTATATAATTGAAACTGGTAGTGAGAGGTAAGATGACTTTCAGATCAGTTCTATGGCCATTTATGAGTTCTGGACAATGGTTAATATATTACTTAAACAATCAAATTCTGTGAAGCAGCATACTGTGGGACCTGACAGCCGGTAAGTATTAATTGGACAAAGCAAATACTGCAGTGACCAAAGATAAGTCAATCAGATGTTTGTTCAAAACATTGGCTTTGTCATTTGAATTTGTTCCTTCCTAAAAGAGGAAATCTTTCAGCGCTGTAAATTATAGATATGAATCTCTACAGCATTGACAAAATAAGCATTATAAGACTTGTGTGCGTGTGCAAAACATGCTTCTTTTGAAAGTATGACCCAATGGATTTACAGGTAGTCCTTGACTTACAACAGTTCATTTAGAGATTCAAAGTTTCAGTGGCACTGAAAAAATGACCATTTTTCACAGTTACAAGCTTTGCAGCATCCCCGTTATCATGTGATCAAAATTCAGATGTTTGGCAACTGGTTCATATTTATGATGTTGCAGTGTCCCAAGGTCATGTGATCACTTTTTGCGACCTTCTGCCAAGCAAAGACAATGGGGAAGTCAGATTCACTTAACAACTGTGTTACTAACTTATCAACTGCAGCGATTCACTTAACAGCTGAGGCAAGAAAGGTCATACAACAGGGAAAACTCACTTAACTTGTCTCACTTAACAACAAATTTTGGGCTCAATTGTGGTTGTAAGTCAAGACTACTTAGTTGTCTGCTAAGACCATACAATCCAGTTCTGCAAGAATGCCACAAGGTCAAATAGAGCCCAAAATGCTCGTGTAGCTAAATTACTAAAAGAAATAATAATCATGATTGCCCATTAAAAGAGCATGATTATGCAGAAACCAATTTATGAAAGTTTTGCCACAAATTCAGGATGCCCAACCGATTAGTCAGACCCTAATAGACTAGCCAGAGAATAAAGTCCTGCAGTGTCTAATTATCAGTTGGACATGTGCATAGCTGATTAAGGTTATTGCACAGTCAACCAGATATTTAGACTGGGTTTGGCATTTTTATCAACCTATCGAGTTCTTCCCAAAGACCTAGGATAGGCAGAGGTATTGCTGCAGGATGAAAGCTGTTCCAAGTAAAGCTGCCTTTTGCAATTGACTGATGGTGATTTTATCAATGCCGGTGGTGTCCAAGTGGTGCTCCACTTGTTTTAGGATTGCATCCAAGGCACCTTTTACTATCCATACTATCTTGGCTTTATTTTGCCACAGTCATTCTATTTCTATTTGCAGTTCTTTGTATTTTGTTATCTTCTTCAGTTCTCTCTCTTCTACTCTGTTGTTATTATTATTATAATTATTATTTTAACCATGTTCTT